GGACTTTGCAAACTGCTTAATTTACCCTCCACTTGCTTAAGTGCAGAGTCAATCGCGCAGTCTTCTTTGGTCGCCATACTTGTATCCAATATGACGAAACAAGAATCTCCCAATATTGGTAGTCTGACTACACAGGCCGTGGCAAGTATTGATGCATACCAAGCAGACAAAACTGAGCAGGCGCGGCAGGATGCCCTTGCAAATGCCATTAGACTAGTGAGGGCTCTGGAAACTCCAGCAGATGCAATTTACAAGCTATTTGCTTCGGTATGAACCAATCTTCAGCACTTCATCTACCCACCGCTAATGTTTGGAACCAAAAGCCTGCTGTTCTCATGGCAGTTAAGACCGCCAATGACATGGGTGTCTTTGCCCTTTTGTCTGAGAAGCGCTCTGCCGTGTCCTGGGAAGAGTTGGCTGCGCTGAAAAACGCGGATATCCAACTTGTTGGTAGGTATTCATATTGACATGAATTCCCCTGCACACATTGACCGTTTTGGTAGAACGTATAATGCGTGTTCTTGTTTGCAATGGCTTCGCCAGTGAACTGGGTCCTGGCCAATATGCGGCTACCGACCTATCAAGCAAGATGACAGAGAGAAAAACAATTGGAACCATGGATTCACTGTTAGTATCTTCTTATTTGGACAACCGCTGCCACTTCCGACCAGTTCTGATCAAACATGACCAATTTAGTTTCATCGACTTTTTACCCATCATTCAGAAAACACCGGAATTCTTCCAAAAGTCTGACTACAAGAACCCTGGGGACCCCTTGAATGGACCATTTCAACATGCCTATAACACAACTGGCTCTTGCTGGGATTGGCTAGCTAAGAACCCAGATGCACTAGATCGTTTTAATACTTTCATGGAGGGCGGCCGCGATGATACCTCTCACTGGACTGACTGGTTTCCCGCTCAAAAGCAGTTACTGGATGGAGTGTCCAGCGATTCTCCGCTGCTTGTTGATATTGGCGGAGGTCGTGGGCATGACCTTCTGGGATTCAAGCAAAAATTCCCCGCTGCGGCCGGGAAGCTTGTACTTGAGGATTTGCCTTCAGTTATTGAGGACATCCAAAAACTCGACAGTGGCATTCAGAGAGTCAAACATAACTTTTTCGAGCCTCAGCCGATCAAAGGTTTTTGATGGTTCCTTTTTGTTTGCCAATTATCTAACACATAGTATAGGTGCTCGCGCATACTACTTCAAGCACATCATGCACGATTGGTCCGATGATAACTGCAGGGTGATTTTGAAGCACACCACGGCTGCCATGGAGAGGGGATTTTCAAAGCTTTTGATTGAAGATTACATTGTTCCCGACACAAATGCCGGTCCAAAGGAGGCGTTGACTGATATGATTGTCATGGTATGGTGTCCGGGGATTGAAAGGACTCGTCAGAGGTGGATAGAGCTTTTGCAGTCAGTCGGACTGACAATCACAAACTTCTGGCTACCTGCTGGGTATCACAAAGGTATCATTGAAGCCGAACTACAAGGCGAGGCCAAGGATTCTGCAGAGGTTTGAGGGGTTTAGCATCTGGCATGCTGCAGGTGCACTCTCGTATAGCTTCATTTACATAGCTTAGCAAGTAGCCTGCTCAATATACATCCCATCTGAGCTTCAACTTTTTTTTCCCGCCCGCTATTGTTCTCTAGGCCGACGGAGTTCAATGGAGTTACTCAACCAATCATTGATAATTATCTCATGGAAGTTAGATGAAATACCTTTTAGATGTTGTGTGTTAATCGTGGTTGTATATAGTTGCTGAAGCAAGGTGATGTGATTATATTCAAGGATCGTTGAAGCTATTGGATGAGGTGAGATCTGCCATAGGAGGAATCAGTGAGGAAATGAGGAAACCTTTGAGTTCTGGACAAGGATACCCAGTGGTTAGCCGCAATTAAATTACAATTTGAATCGATGAAACCCAAGAAGTAAAGCCAATCCCATGAAGCAAAGAGCCTAATACCATACCAATCCATGTGAAAACGGGATATGCAGGGAAACATTTCCAAAAAAAAAAAAAAAAAAACTAGCTTTTGCCAGATTGATTTAACCCAATACGATGAAATCCATCGGGATGGTGCTAGATAATTGAAAGGGTACATGGCCCTTTCTACCTCAGAGTTTGATCTCCTCTTCCCGCCGTCTGACACGGGCCTTCAATCCCGGATGAGCCACATGGGTGTACCCACGTTGAAACCATGCACCTTCGTCAGGAATGATGACTGAAACGTCATACTTCATGAGCACATTACAGAGAAGTATCTTTTGCATATAAGATGCGAAAAACCTTCCGGGGCATGCTTGAGACCCGTGGCCAAAACCGAAATGGTCTGGAGACGTTGACGTAAAGTTGTATGATGCCTGGTTCGTAGAAGGATCTGCCTTCTGGCGCAGATTAAAATATCGGTAACCATCAAATTTATCACCATCAGGCCAGACTGATGCATCAATGACGTGGCAAGCGGAGACCATCAACGGGGTTCCCTTGGGAATAATGAGTCCGTCGGGTAACACGACCTCCTCCAACGCGATTCGTTGCATCAGAACTGATATTAAGGGTCAGAGAAGGCCTTCTGGAGTCTATGTGGGTGAGACTTACGAACAGACTCGGGATGCATACGCTGAGCCTCTTTCAGGACGCTGTCCATGAGCACTAAACCTTGTAAGGTATTCTTGTTGAAACCCTCTTTCCCAACCACGTTCACAATCTCAGAGCGGAGATCATTTACAAGCTGATCGTTTGTAAAAACCGAGTGAAGGACATGAGTGAAAAGTTCGCCGCCTCCATCATATGAGACTAGGCAGAGGGCAATTAACATGGACGCAAGCTCATCTGATCGACCTTCCATCTTTTCATGTAAGAAACTTAGCGGGCTTTTGGAGTCAATTTCCAATGGCTGTGCATCTAATCTTTCCTTCAAAGGCTCCAAGAGAGTATTGATACGCTTGAAAAGGGACTGAAGCTTCCTACAATTGGGAAGGAAAGGTGCGACCCAGCGCTTCGCCCATCTTGGGAAAGCTCGAAGTTCATATCCCGCCAACGCTGACAATTCGACGTACTCCGAACTGGCATTTATCCACTCGGGATTGCGATAGAAGTCCTTGTCATTGATAAACGTCCTAGACATGATGTGTCCAAACATCTTCCAGACGGAGTCTTTCAACATAACCTCGTGGAATTCTGATCAATTTCTTAGCTTCAATCTCAGACATAAGTCAATGTGTGGGGTGATGTAGTGGTACCAGGCTTCTCAGTCCAGACCTGATCAAGAGCATAGTCAGATTCTTCATTGAGCGGCTCGGTAAAAGTCCCTGTTCTAAAGTCAGCTTGGTTCTTCTACCTCGACAAGGTCTAGACATGACAAGTAAAGGCAGATGAGATGGGGAAATTCTAACCCAAATGGCGATTAAGTGAATGCTTTGTAACGGCGTGTAAGATCTTTTTATCGCTTGTCATTGATTCCATCGGCTCAAAGCCATGCACGCCATTGACAAGTTTCTGTTCCCATGTCAGCTTTTGATTTCTTCAAAATCATATTTTCCTTACATCTGCGAGCGCTGTGATGAAATCCAGCCGCTTTTCATTGCGGAGCATATCAACATATTTGCCAGAGAGGATTAGGCGATATCTAGAATCCGTATAGAGATAGAACGCATCTCCATACTGCTTGAGAGTAAGCAAAGATCAGAAAAGTAATATACCAGAATTGGAACATCACAGACCTTCTGCAAGCAGGACCTGACAACGCCAAGGCAATCATCCCGGATTCGCTGTCTGGCTTTGCCATTGCCTATCTCATACCACCTCCGACCAATAACTGGGAGCCCGGAAGGATTATTAAGCTGTGTGGACTTCCACCAGTAGCATAAAAGAAAGATAATCCCGCCATAAAAGATATAGGGTGAGCTAATTTCGATATCTCGAAGTTTCAGAATTGCGTCCTCTAGATGCAAGGACATTTCAAAGAAATCCCTAACAATGTGGTATTCTTTGAATATTTATCTTGGGAGGGATCAGTGAAGTAAGATATTTGAGTGAAAGAAAAGGCCCTGGGTAACCAGTCCGGCTCGAAAAGTGGTAAGGAGAATATGTTTTTGCCCTTGGAATAAGTGTAATAGTCTATAAATATCGATTGACATCATCTTTCACCGTATCAATGTACGTCCTACTCTAAATTTGCATATGTTACGGCTATTATGTCAATATGTGCTCAGAATTTACAAAAAAACGGCCAGGGTATGTTTCCACCGTAATTGTTGTGACATATAATTTCTTTGTATAGAATTTTAAATCACGCTAAACATCCTACGCATTCATTTTAAAGTCAATGGCAATTTTGTTCTCGTTTCCACAGGTGATACATACTTGCAGGTTTACGCATTCAGGATTGCAGTACTCTGTAGCCTATGTATTGACCCACGAAAGCTAGGTCTGAAATGTATTTTGTACCATTACTCCGTACTGGAGTAAGAGCTAGTATTCAATACTATGCAATGATATGCAATGCTATGCAATACAGCAGTGCGGGCGGTAAGATGACCCCAACTAACTAACCACTTGGCGCCCCACGTAATGCAATGCAGCTTAAATAGATCTATCTCCAGCTCAGCTTGCCATTCCACATGCGATGTGGAAATCGCACCTAAAAGAGGCCACGATTTGAAAATCTCGTTAGATCTATCGCAATTTCCCAGGTATCCAAACGCCTTACATAACCAATTCCACTCTTTCCTGCTCTTAGTCCCATTATTTTGGTTCTGAAATAACCAGTGCCTATTGTGTTTAATTGTGTATTTTCGCTGTACCCTGAAGGATTTTGGATGTTTCAAACCGTTCTTTTACAGATAACCCCTCACTGTATTTGACCTAATCTATTCTCTGACCCTCGTCTCCGATTTCCTTTTTGTTTGCCTAGATTAAGATCACACCAGGGTGCCCCTTCAGACTCCCAAAGATTTCCGACACTTGAAATTGAAACCTTGATCATGGACATTCCTGAACTTATTGAGTCCATTCAGTTGGCCACTTCTTCTGGCAACTTCGAAAACTTGGACCCCCAGCAGCAAGCTCAACTGTATGAGGCTTGTGATCGATTGAGGAGTAAATGTGAATCTCCTCTAGATAAGACACTCAGGCTTCTTTATACTGTAAGTTTTAGCCCCTATCCAACATATTGATTGCTCAGATATGGTCAGGCTAATAATTTTCAAGTGCCACCAAGCGATCGCAGTCCGTCTCGCTGTAGATCTGAAGCTCTTCGATGCAATCGTCAAGCGCGCTTCTGAAGAGGAAGACGGGAAAGTGCGCGTGGGCCAACTTTCCGAGGATGTGCAAGCAGATCCCAAACTAGTTGGTAAATATATATTCCCGTCCTCCACGTGAACTGTTGGCTAACCTTGATCCAAAATAGGAAGGATCATGAGGTCGCTTGTGCCATTAGATATTCTCAAGCAACATACATCCGATACTTTCTCATCCACGCGATTCACTACGGCCTACATTTCGACGTCATGGATGTCCGCAGCAGTGATATTCTTGTAAATACTCTACTCTCCATGTACCAAGGATGAACATCTAACTAACACATCTAGCACTCACTTGTTTCTTTTCGTCTCCAAGCTCCCCGAATATTTCAAGGAGAAAGGATGGAAAACACCAGATGATATTGACGACTCGCCGTGGAATTTTGCATCCGGGACCAAGTCTGGATACTTTAATTACATGGCATCGAAACCGTATTACCAAGACGCCTTCGACACAGTCATGGCCTCGCCCTACCGTCGCGACGAGAAAAGTTGGCTGGAATTTTTCCCCGTCGAGGAGAAGCTACAAGTTCAGAGCCCCTCCGACGTGCTTCTCGTGGATGTTGGAGGTGGTCGGGGGAAAGATCTCCAGACCTTCCGTGAGAGGTTCCCCAATTTGCCTGGTAGGCTTGTTCTCCAAGACTTAGGCCATGTTTGTAAGACAGCAGATATTGGCAGTGGAATCGAGACCCAGGTGCATAATTTCTTTGATGAACAGCCCATCAAAGGCGCAAAGGCGTACTACCTTCGCACTGTTCTCCACGACTGGCCAGACAAGCAGGCTGTGATGATCCTATCCAGGCTTCGTGAGGCAATGTCTCCCGATTCTTCGCTATTGATTCACGAGAAGGCTATGCCGGAGACTAATATTCCATGGATGGCTGCGATTGGTGATATGACGATGATGACTGCTTTCTCGTCGTTGGAACGGAGCAAGAATGAATGGGAGACGCTATTGAAGAAGGCTGGATTGAAGGTCACCCAGTTTTGGAAGCCCGAGGGCTCTTCCGGACAGCAACAAGTTATCATAGAGTGTGCGCTCCAGATATCTGAATGATGCTTCGCTGATAGGGTATATAATTATTGAATTTGGATGTGTGAGCATACGCAAGTTCGCTTTTTGTTTTTATATTGCCACAAAGGCTGACATTACATGGTGATAAGAATCAAACGACTGTAGACACTCGACTCTACAAATGGCTTAACCTCCAGGAGCTGAGTTGTCGGTCATTCTAAGTTCCACTCTCTGACTTATTCATCCACTCGTTGATTTTTATCAATATCTACTGCCGTACGATATACGTAGCCAGTGGGGAGGTAAAGATAGAATGGAGAGTCGCTGCCATGTGAAGATTTCCTAGCTCGTGTCCATTGCTAATCAGCGTGCGAATCGACTCGACCACCAGGGCCACTGAAATGATCGTCAGGGCAAAGGCAAAGCAGATTTTTGCTGGCATTGAAGACTCTCCCTGCGCCCGCTGGCCACTGGGTCGAACTTCTAAGCTCCTTGGACTGCCTGTGAAGGTGCTCGAGACCGGTGTCGCTCACTGCCCTGTAGAAGCTCTCTGCAATGATAGCGAAGAGTGATAGTTAACGTATCGTCGCAGCTACATATATCGATAGCGCTTTGACACTGATAGTGCCGTATACCGCGTGATCAAAATTTGCTCAGTGAGTCCTCCGATGGATGTGGTTTCTCCATGGCAGTGCTCCGGGCAGGCTGACAAGTGATCCCTGCAGCCACCTAAGCTCGATCCGGTTAGTCACAGGGAGTGTGGCCAAGTGACTCTCAGATGAATCAGCCAGGAAAGGCCTTGCGGTTTTCCCGTTGGATGCAGGGCGAATCCGAGTCGAAAATTCGCATTTAGGGTGTCAGCTTAGCATTGCTGGGAAATTTGATGAACTTGCCAAGTCTATAGGGGTTTTTGTTATCACTGTATCGGTGCACGATCCACTCTCAAGATTACTCAAACCTCTTGTGATACGAAGCTTTCCAGGTCAGGAATTGTTGTGTCGGCCTAAGGCCAGATAGTTGGTGCCTTAAGGCATCAACCCCTCGATACCTCACATTGCTTCACTCACTTTAGGATAAGAATGTTCCCTCGATTCCTTTTTTTTCACTCCAGCTAATAATAGAAAGAGACTCCCAGATACTACTCCGTGCTCCGTACTCGGGTAGACCATTGATCAAGTAATGATTTGGCTCGGGATACGATGGGCTAATGATACATCTGTTGGTCCATTGTGTGGTTAAACATTTCAGCATAGCCTTCGAGTCAAGCCATGGGATAAGTGTAGGGACTTCAGCTCCACGACAGCACCAATGGGGGGTATTTTGGAGAACGCAAATTATATCCGACAGGTCATATCTCATCTGGAAGGAATACTTTGTCAAGTCCTCAAGTCCATAGCAAAGGTGACATATTTAGTAATATTCACTGCTAACAATACTACCCTTCCATGCCAGGTCGACAGAGAACCACGCTGATGGTTGAACGCCGCCAGTAATATGTATGATAGTCCTTCAAATGAGCACATCTACGGACTAATCAAATACGAAATACTTCGTATTACTAGGAGGCTACCCCCAAATAGGCTAGTATATGCAGATTCATTAGCGTATTTATCTGCCAAGCTATGGCAGTGGAGTACAAATAGTACATACTGCGGTGTAACAACGCATATGGATCACTGCTGTAGTTGCCACGTCGAATAGCTAACTCTTTCACATTTGGCGTAAATCGAATCCTCCATTTACAAGACGTGTTTTATATTAAGAGCTGTTAGAAAATAATCTCGACACTACATAGTAGCCTTGTTGATATTGCTAACTAGCATGTGAATGAGAATCACGTTGAATATATCATCTATTTAAGTTGTGTATTGAACTCTAAATAATGAGATCGAGTCATGTAATGCAGGGCAAGTAAGGACCTACATGGGCGGTCAAAAGTTTCTTCACACTACGTATATCGATCACAAAATCCAGGCTTTTGGCTTTTTTGTCAGGATTTTTTTAATTTTAATATATTCAAAATGTAACAGATTGACTACAAAATTTGGTTACGAAATTTTTCCTTCTCCACTTTTTAGTTATTGAATTTTGGGGGACCTATTTTTATTAACGGACATGTCAACAAACCTTTGGTAAGGAAATATCATGAAGTCATACAACGCATAGTTTCATGCACTATGCGCATTTCTGTCCTACCGGTAGTACATCATATTTACTAACCCTATCCTATAACCCTAGAGTATACATGTCCTGATTTCGGGTTCACACGTCTCCATTTCCATTAACAATATAACCCAGAACGCTTCGTCAAAATTGACCATTGCAGATTTCAAGAATCAAAATGGCAGTGAACTTCACCTCCATCCCTTTGGTCGACTACCAGGACTCACTTTCCCCTGATACAAAGCCACGCTTCCTCTCCGCGCTTAGGAGTGCACTCGTCGATGTAGGTTTCTTTTACCTTCAGAACCCTCCGATTGAGGCCGAAGTACGGGAGACACTTGTGAAGACAACGGGTGCATTTTTCGACCTCCCAACAAAAAAGAAGCAGGAGCTGGACGTGGCCCACAGTAAACACTTCCGGGGATACGGCTGCGCGGGTGCTGAAAAAACAGCTACAATAAGCGACCAGCGGGAAACTTTAACAGTATGTTTAATGACACTATTTGAAAATTTTTGGAGCAACTTAATCATACTAACATGATGGAAAAGGTTGGTATCGACGCACCTGTCCATGGCTCGGACTCGCCCATCTACTACGGTCTCGAGGGACCTAATCAGGTATGGCAAGAGACTTACATCTATCCAAAATGGCCATTGCTGACTATAACCACAAAGTGGCTTCCTGAAGAAGCTACCCCAGGCCTCCGTAAAGCAGTCGAAGTATACATTGATCAGACCCAAAAGCTGGCAGAGACGTTTGTGTTTTTTATTGCTGAAGCATTGGAAATACACCCTGATGCTTTTACAAAGGTGCTCCAGAGGGAATACCCCTACAGCCTCCTGAGAATCGGTGCCTATCCTCAAATGGACCCTTCAAAGCCTACTGCGGCAGATATCCAGGGTGTTGGGCCTCACAAGGATTCAAGCTTCTTGACCTACCTGCTTCAAGGAACCGGTCATTCAAGTCTAGAGGCGCAGAACAAAGCGGGAACATGGATCTCGGTCCCCCCCTATCCCGAACACACTTGTGGTGAATATCGGCCGGTCACTAGAAACCCTCACTCAAGGAGTTTGCGTTGCCACTACTCACCGAGTCAACTTGAGACCAGCTCAATACCTTGGAGCGAATAATATGCCTCTCGGAAAGCGCTTGAGTTTCGCATTCTTCCAAATGGTGGCTCTCGATGTGACTCCTGAGGATATGAGAGTGGTGTTACCTGCTCATATTTTGGCTTTACGCGAGAAGGATGTGAAGTCCGACGCTGAAACATTCTTCGCTGATCTTTTCAAAGGCCCTGCTGGTGAGGCGCTTTTAACAAATTGCATCACGAGCTATCCTGAAATGGGGAAGCGATGGTACCCTGAAATGTTAGCTAAAATGCTTGAGCAGCAGCATAAAGGTAAATTGCTAGATGATGCCAGACTTGCTGGAAAGTCTCAGACGGTTTAAGTGTGAGTGTTTGACACATTTCGGGAATGGGTATCTGTGAATATATACAGTTTCCAGGTGCATAGCCCGTTAAAGGGGTAATACATAATAATATTGGAGGGACCTACTGGAACCATACGGAGTAGATTATATGAAAATCGTATGCTAGAGTAGGGGGACTAATCATCTGCCGAATGCCGCTTGAACCTGCCCTATAATACATCTAATACTTCCTGCATGATCAAAATTTCCGGTTTGATCCTGAAACATTGTTTGGATGTCATCTTACGACCGTCATTGGAGAGGCCCTCATGATCGATGTTCTCACGAGCCATCCCAAAGTGGGAAAGAGATGGTACTCTGAGGCTCTGGCTGAAGCCTTGTGACAGAACAAGAAGGGAAGAATTTGGATGATTTCAAGATGTATCCCACTACAAATGTCTCCTAGGCTGTACCTATACACCTAGATAGCCTGTTGATTTATTAATTCCTACCCCCCTTTTCAAAGTTGATATGAGAAGTTAGCGAGTGGACCGTCCGCGAATTTCAGAGTACCGTCAATGATTTGCTTATTTTTCGGGCTTATCTAACTTTTCGGGTTAACTGATCTTATATCGCAGCAAAAGCAATGTGCGCTATATCTTTGATCATAGAAACTCCCACGTGAGTGTCTGCAACCGTATACCCCACTTGTCATATTCTCGCCTACACGTTGTGATCCCCATTCATATCGTATAATATTAGTTACGAGATTTGCGTCGCGGCTTGAGGTGCTTGTGCCTGGGACAGAAGACAAATTCCACCTATCCAATCTTAGCGGAGCGGAAGTTGGATGGAAAAATATATGAAACAGGGCGCGGGGCAAAACAAAAAAAGAATATGACCACAGAAGGCCAGAACAAACGGTTTTTGGCCTAGCCAGCAAAAATGCGAAATAGTCGGTGCTTATCAAGGGTGGCTTGGCTGAACGATCGTGTGGTGATCCATGGATGCTCATGACGAGGTAAGATATACCTTGTGAAACTTGAGGGCTTGCCAGGGCCTGCACATATTCGAATATCTCATCTATCAGGGACTTACAACTACAAGTCTCGGGGTTTATTTCTTTGAAAAGTAGTAAGAATTTGAATCAGCGGTGAGATTAGGTTCGACTTTCCAAGGTTGGTTATAACTATAGTGGTGGTAAGTAGCCAGCCACCATAGTAAGGTTGGGGTGAGGGACAAAAGTAAATGCAAGCACCCCGTGTAAGAGCGGTGTAGGCCCCTCCACTTCTAAATGCATACCTAAATAGAGGCTAACGGTTGATACGGTTGATTACATTAGTAGAAGAAGCCAGGGTAGTCTATCACTCGGCCACAGTAAAAGAATCGATTAGGTGTACAAATATCGTATGTAGAGGGAGGTACCCAAAAGTAAGTACCTACCTATAGGTATATCTCAGGATCTATGACTCCCAGAAAACGAGGTTAGCGTTCCCGTTAAGCGGCCCGCCCCCAACCTTGGAAACGAGTGGATACCATCTGGGACAACATCTGGGTCATCTGGGATATCCATGGATAAGTACCTACGTAGGCAATGTGCCCTGCGGAATACCCAGTCTGTACATACTGCATTGCGGAAATAAAATAAAAATTCCACAAAAATGCTTAAATAGAACATCACACTGGAGCTTCACATGCCATTCAAATTTTATGACCAGTGATCAGGTCTCCGGATCTAAGAGTAAGACCTAAGAGTACTGCATGATCGCGCCTCCCTCAATTCGAAATACTACATTTTAAACTCCTCTTCCCTCGCTGTTTTTACTTTCAATACTTATTCTACCCAGCTCTTCACAACATGAACGACCAAAGTCGATCAGATGCCGAAAACTATCCACTGCTCATCGAACGACGTTTCTCCGAGCCTCATGCCCAAGGAACCGAGAAGAGCCAAACATCAAACGGTTACTGGGCCCGCCTTTGGCAACCATCACCCTCCTGGGTAATCTGCGTTCTCGCAATCTACGAGCTTATCTTCGGAGTTTTGGCGGTCCCCGAGTTCAATGCAACCTTTGCTTTGATCTGTCACCAGCGCCAATCACCCAGCCAGACCCACCCAAAACTAGAACAATGTTTCGCCAATATACACACGCAGTCCGATCTTTCCCGGTTTCTCATCTATCGCCAAATAATAGCGGGTCTCCTTGGTGCCTTTTCGACCCCAATCCTGGGTTCACTATCGGATCGCGTCGGTCGCAAGCCAATCCTCGCGTGTACCGTTGTCGGCCCTCTTCTATACGAGATCCTTATGGTAATAGTCCTCCGCAACCCGGAATCGATAAACGTGCACTGGCTTCTCGTGGGATACGCAATGGAAGGTCTTAGCGGGACGATGATTGCCGGGACTTCGACCGCACAGACCTACATTACCGATCTCACGCGTCCCAGCTCCCGGGCGCGGTGGTTCAGTTACTTGCAGGCTTCGTATGCCTTTGCTGGGGCGGTTGGGCCTCTCATTGCCAGCTTGCTTCTAAAAATGCCGAATCCCTTCGAAACGATCTTTTGGCTTGCCATATGTTCTCATTTCTCCCTCTTGCTTATCATTCTATTCGCCTTGCCGGAATCGCGCAATCCAGTCTCTACTGGTCGCCCGGACCTAGATGGAGTAACCCTGGAGCAACCTACTGGCGAAAGTTATCTCCGTGTATTTCTGACGTCGCTCAAGTCTATCCGGGAATTCAAAGGGTTTCGAAATAAGAATATGATCATTCTGGCTGGGATAGACATGATTATTTTTGGGAACATGATAGGTCTGCTTCCACTGCAATTAGCATACCCGGCGTTCTTGTTCAAGTGGCAACCGACCACGCAAAGCTTTTTCATATCCCTTTCCTACTCATGGAGCGTTTTGGTGCTGGTAGTTCTATTCCCGCTGATAATGACGCGGTTCCGCCGATGGAATAGGAGACAGGTTGTGCCAAATCTGTCGGCTGCATCCAATTCTGGAGAGTTAGATGCCATCCAGGTGAACCTAGTGTTACAGATGATAGGATATATGGGTATCGCACTTTCACAAGCGCCTGCCCATTTCATCATATCGTCTTTGCTTGTTGCATCTACTATATCCATCAACCCTCTATTAACATCATGCCTCACATCACATGTTCCCGACCATCAATCAGGGCAATTGTTAGGAGTTTTGAGCTTTCTCCACGCCATTGCTCGGATTGTGATTCCAGCACTCTTGAATGCTACATATAGCATCACGATAGGAATTTTCCCGGCACCTTTGTTCATGTTGTTATCAATTGTCATTGGCGGCTTGTATGTTGCCAGTATATATATAGATAAAGATACCCTCTAGCCGCCGTTTCTGCAGTTTAATGACAATGGGAATTCAGTCCAAATTTTGCTTTGAGCTGTTTTCGGAATATGAAACAGTGTAAGGATTATTTATATCAAAATGATACCGACCATGGTTCAGGCTTACTAGAAAAAGAATACGATGTGATGGAGGTGGTCTCTCGGGCGTGGAGATCAGGGTACGACGATACCAGCGCTCTTTCTTCTCTGGCCTGTCAATGTTCGTTGACGGCACTCGAAAGAAAAGGAACTATATACTAGACAGTATTCAATATCCACAGCCCCTTCTGGACTGTCTGTATTAAGCGATAGATTGGCTCTTCTGTGAGAGATATTCGATCATCACCTTACACTCATCCTTAAAATCTTCAAACCGCTCGCTCTACTCTTCACGTCCTAGGTAGTTATTGGGATGGTAGCCTTGTTCTCGGGATTTTACCAAAAGAACGCTATTGTTTGGACACGAATGAACAAGGTGATATCTGCCGGCGGTGTGCCGTGCCTTCTTTTTGGATAGCTCACCTGCACTCTCCTTCCTCCCTTCTCCATATCCGTTTTTAGTTAATATCTGTAGTGAATAACAAAACTGCCTATAAATCCTGGTTCTCTGTCAATAATATATTTTCTAACACCAGAACACAATAAAAAATCAACCCAATGTTAGGGTAAGGTTGTTTGTTGCCTATTCCGTATGCAATGCAACTAAACCAAGCCCGGTGACGAGTACCGGTGATCGCAGGCAAGCCACGAAAATTCCAACGAAGCTCTACAATATTGTAGGCCTTTTAAGTGAATCTGAGCTTAGTTTATGACCCGTAAATTCATGTTACACCGCTACCTAGGTACATTCCAGTGTTGTGCATACTCTTGCATCCCTAGGTAGTACATTGTGCATAGGACGTGGCTGGCTGAACCACAAGGCTGGGGTGTGGGGTTGCTGGGTTGGCGATTACGGGCTTACCGAGATCGTCCCTCACCCCTTATAGATCCACTCAAAACATGCAGATGACTTCATTTCCCGATGTGCCCACTTCAACATGCTTCTGCATATTTTGTATTTCGTACAGGGGTATTCGCTAAATGTTATCGTTACCCCTCGATGAAATATAGCAAAAGAACAGATACAAGATGCTTGCACCATGCGCACATTCCGCAAAGTATTCTCAAAATCTTTGACTTTTCATAGTCTCATTTTAACTTACCCCACATTGAAGTTAGTCTCTCATGGAAACTGACATTAAGCACAACCGCTTCCACCCCCAATGTGAGCTTTCTATATTGGGCGGCGACAAAGAAAGCGACGCCGCCGTCCAACCATCAAAATGTATCACAAACAGCGACTCCTTAACAGATGTCTGCGAGACAGAGTTAGAAAGACGCAAGGAAATTGAGGGTCGCAAAAGATTTTCGCGGCTTGGTTGGAAACGTCTCGTCATCATCCTCATTACAGAAGCAATTGCCCTTGGGAGTCTCAGTATTCCGGCCTCGTTCGCGGCCCTCGGTATGCTTGGAGGCGTGATCTCTTGCATTGGGATCGGGCTTATCGCTACATACGCCAGCTATGAGGTCGGTGCAGTCAAGCTCAAATATCCACATGTTGAGAACTATGGAGACATCGGGAGACTTCTCCTGGGGGAAAAGGGGTTCTGGATTATCACAGTGGCTTTTCTCCTCCAACTGGTACTTAGCGTGGGGTCACATTGTTTGACTGGGATTATTGCCTTGGCTAGTGTCACGCAAAGTAATGTTTGCACCGTGGTATTCGGGTTAGTCACAGCTTTGATTCTTCTTTTCCTTGCCATCCCACCAACATTTGCCGATATCGCTATACTTGGGTACATCGATGTTGCCTCGATTTTCACGGCCATTGGCATTACAATTGTTGCAACAGGTGTACAAAGCACTCGGGATAACAACGGTTCACCTGGCTCGGATTGGTCAGTTTGGCCCAAGGAGAATCTCAGCTTCTCAACGGCTATGGTTGCAATGAACAATATCGTTTTCGCTTATTCTTTCGCTCCCGCGATACCATCATTTATGAGCGAGATGCACACCCCGAAGGACTATCCCAAAGCGATATACACCCTGGGAGTGATTGAAATTGTTATTTACACCCTGATCGGTTCTCTTGTGTATGTGTTCGTGGGTAAAGATGTACAATCCCCTGCCCTACTCTCCGCAGGACCCCTCATGTCCAGAATCGCTTTCGGTGTTGCCCTTCCGGTGGTCTTTATATCCGGATCCATAAACACCAGCCTTATCGCTCGCTATATTCATGCACACGTTTATCGTAACTCCGTTGTACGATATGTGAATACGAAGAAGGGTTGGATAACCTGGATCTCGCTCGTAGCAGTCCTGACATTTGTTTCGTGGGTAGTTGCTGAGGCCATTCCGGTATTTTCGGACATATTATCAATCAGTGCGGCATTGCTCGTGTCAGGACTGTGCTTTTACGTGCCTGCGATAATGTGGTTTGTCCTTGTCAAAGAAGGCAACTGGTTCACCCGGTCCAACATCCTGCGGGCCTTCTATAACGGCATTGTCTTTTTGTTCGGCATAGGTGTTCTTGTGTGCGGAATGTATGCAAATATTGTGAATTTGGTGAGTCGTAGCTTGTATGATTGGAAGCTTTCGTTCTCTGCTAACCGCAATAAATAGATCAAAGAGTCCAGAGACCCCAATTCCACCAGACCCTTTTCATGCTCGAGCATTGCATAAGGGCTCCCTGGGAGTTGAATGGGATGATATTGTCGACGGTTTGCGTCAGGCTAGAACCGCCCTCTCACTCTTCAGGTAGCCCTCTCTCGCTTTCTTCTTTCTTTACTTCTTCCCCTACATGTTTAGCTGTTATATGTAGCCAATAACATAATAGCATACAGATCCTTGCTTTCTGTCTGTCGATAGATATCCATAATCTGCGTGGTGAGCGCCTAGGTGTGTCCTATCTAATGATGGTGGCGGCCTGAAGGATCTCCGACTAGCTGTTCAGTAGATATATATGATCATCAAAAAAGGAATATTTACGGTTACCCACCGGCCGCCTTGGGAAAGAACCCGGAAGGTCCAGAAGTCACCCATTGACCCCCCAAGGTATATCGCCTTGGCAGACGAACATCGCTGGGTAATGTGAGAGTCTCATTCGTGTTACCATGCATCGAGACTAGAATGAGAAAAACCCTCACCAATCATGTGCAATATCGAGGAATTATTGAGACTCATGATGACATGTCTGATAGCCGCCGTGAACAGCTTTTCTGAGGAGAATCAGCTTGCTCAACAGGCAGAAGAAAGTAATGGAAGGGACGGATAGGAGTTTAACTCTTGACTTGGTGCTGCTCGACCATTACCATGGAGTGGATCGGACGCACCTCCGATCCCTCTTCCCTTTATTCAGAGATCGACAGTTCTGCCAAAACGTACACGGCAGTATCAAAAAGGAGATATGAACTATCACGCAGATCAAGACGGTCGTTCCGAAAGCTACAGCCCCATCCCGCGAAGATGGGGCTGGGAAAACAACTGCAGTCAGGAACCTACCGTAGTTCTTCAGCTCCACTAAATAACGGTGTACATTATAGGAAAGATTGTCAGAACGGGCTTGTTTCTGTTCAGCTGAAGGGTATATGGAATCTACAAAAGCTTAGCGGATATAGACACTTGACGGTGGTTCTCATCTTGTGAGATCCACTGGCAAACAAATCATTGGACACACGATCTGTTCGGCCCTCACTTCACTACTACGCTATCCCTTGCGTGCTTTCAACTATTGAAAATTTCAGGGATTTTTGTCCAAGACGATGTTCCAATGCAGCATTCTATTTGATCTATATAATTATTGAAAATGCTCTTGGGAACGGTGGCCAGTTGGACATTAAATACCTCCCTTTCCCCTGAGTTCTTCTACCTATTCATCACTTCTATCAAACATCATGGTGCAATCGTATCTTTTGCTCGGATTCCTGACTGCCCTTTGCCAACCGGCATATGGTCTAGTATTCCCTGATAGGATCAAGCAAGTTGTCGGAGATCGGGCTATGTACTTGCTGCATGATTTTACGGACCCAGTATCTGTGAGCTTCAGCGACGAACAAATTCCTGGGACGAAGGGCTGGAAGTTTGATACAGAGGGTCGCCCGGATGATCAAGCTGTTATCACTCCTCTTAACTCCGCCAAAGCCCTGATATGCGAGGAGGGCAGCATATGCGCGCTGAGTTCTGACGGGAAACAACAAGCCTATGTGATCGCCAGGATCCCTGGTGACCGTCCCATTTTCACCTTCCAAGATACGCTTTCGACTCTCTACGTGTCACGCACTGGTGACGAGTTGCAGCTGACCGAGAATATCTCTGAGGCGAGCTATTTTGAATTAGAAAAAGTTGAAGGTAAGCATGTTCCTCTTCCCTCTTTGCTCTATCCATATGTTGACATAATTTTCCAGGAGATGACTGAGCAACAAATGAAAGCCATTGTTCCCCTTCAAGGGAATATCTATAGCCCCTTGTGAAGGGCGCTGTAAGAGCTAGTATTGTTGGGATTTCGGGAGCTGAGGAAATATGAAAGTACGGGTGCATAGCGGTTATATGCAGCATGTATGATTATACTGGGGGATTAACTGGCACATCGACCCCGTTGTTTTGTGTCTCCCGTTTGATTTGTACTGTTGCCTTTTTGAATCTTAGCTGGAATCAATGCACTGTCTTTGGTGGAAAATGAAAAGTTCAGTTACTACCGAACAGACTATTCGTTCTAATATCAACTGCCTATTCCAATACATGGAGGGGATTCTACCAATCTGAGATTCTTAATTTACCCGCCAAGGGCCTTAAGTTGAGATATTCTATTTGCTGCAGGCCTTGCTGTATTAAGGCGGCTGCATTAGTACATATGTAGGTATAGAGCTAATAGTGGTAGAGCTAGTGAGGCGGGGGCGAGCTAGATCTCCGGTTACTATACCTCAGAGGGGCTAGTAGTGGGGGAGGATTAGGTATATGTGTGAATTTCTAAGTATGAATCAATAGAAAAAGGCTTCATTTTCATATACGGGGAGAAATTGGCTGGACTATAGTACCTACCCTACTTGCTAAGGCGACCGTAATAGTAATTCAGGTATTTTAACTCTTCCGCTGGTTTCAATTCAGGAGACTAAAAGGAGACATCATCAGTATGTGCTGGAAAGGGGGTTTTGGCAGCTGGCGCGTATACATCTTCGTATATCCCTTCCAAGTTTTCGAACGTTGGATTATTGATCATATCAACACATGTCAGATGTTGTGTCAACCCTATTGCTCGCATATAATCTCCCGTAACTTATAAAACTCGAGGATTGAATGACCCGCTTACCCATGTGGATGCATTTGACCAGTCGACAGCCACGCATTGCGATTGGACTTTAGGGTCAACAATTTCAATGCATGGAGTAACCAAACCTTGCACCAATAGTGAAGTCTCCTATAAGTCCGTATAATCAAGCTACGGCTGAGATATCCCAATTATTGGGTTTTGCTTTTTCCCTTTGGTCGAACATATATCATTTTATTGGTTGTACTACCCACCATGATCCAAAGCCAACCCGATCCACTCCTAGCACAGCATCTGAACTGTTCTGCTGCGGGGGATCCTTGATAGATTCCATTGGATGGTGTGGCGAGATTCTAAAATTCAAGGCGATCCCTTAAATAAGAATAGGTGGGAAATCTGAAATCAGCAAGGGATGTGGAAGCCTTGTCTCACTAAGTGGATCACACACAGCTGAAATCGCTAAAAGCGGGAGATCTGCCTGCGAACTCTCACTTCGTAATTTGCCACTTAACCCAATAAGATGCCGTGCTCCGCATTCTTGCTGTCATTGAAAGGGCTTAGAGATCTCATCAGTTCTATCGTGTTTTGAGTTGATTGTTCCCCTATTCGCCTCTTGATTTCCCCCCCTCTTGTTGTGCCAAAAGTTTCTAACTACATCTATCTCTGCTGTTAGCTACGCTTGCCGCAGGAAAAATTCCAACACGGCATATTGCTTGTGGGCGGTATCTCCCTCTCCAAATGACCACTCAAGACCAGGCACCACTTATTGCAACCTCACAAGATGAAGAACACATGGATCCAAAGTCGAGTGGTCTCCAGGTAGGCAAACTTGCCGTCGGATCGCTTTTATTGGGTGAGTCTCTGCTTTCTAACAAGCATAGCCAAATATCGAAGGCTAATTCGAGTTGTATAGCTTGCTTTCTAGCAAATGCGGATGAATCCTTTGTCCTCACCACTGGGAGTGATGTTGCCTCGGCTCTCAATGCATCCAGTTCTGCAGCATGGCTCATCACGGGGTACAACTTGGGCTACATTCTTGCTCTTCCGGTGGTAAGTTCCGATCGTCAGGCGTGAGAACAATAGCTCACCTGTACTGCAGTACGGGCAAATATGCGATTCGACTGGACCGAAGAGGGCAATCCTTCTTGCTTTGACAGTATACGGACTTGGCTGTCTGCTGACGTAGGTTTGTCTGATCGCATACGGGATGGGTGCATTATTTAACAATCTCACAGAGGAGTTTCGCAAAGCATTCACTTGGCGGTGGCCGGTCGTATCATTTCAGGGTTTGGCGGAGCAGGAATGAATGAGCTTGTTTCTGTTATTCTTAACGGTATGTCTACTTGCTTAACTATCGTTTTACTTTTGCGAGTGACATTTGCTAATGCTGTCCATGAAAACGACAGAAATACATAGCTTTGACCGTGTTGCCATGTTACGCTCCTATGTCACTACCGTGTCAATTATTGGGATTACATGTGGCGCCCCTCTGGGCGCGTTTCTCACAAGCTGGATTGGATGGCAATGGTGGGTACCCGCAGACTCCTACTACTCAGTATACTGAATCACTAATAATGTTTGTCTGGTACCAGGGCATTCCTGATTCATATCCCATTTGCAATGATTTGCCTGACCATCATCTCACTTTCGCTTTCGCTTTCTCCAACAAAGCCCTCCCCATCTATCACTCCCAAGCTATCATATGGATCAATCGACAACCACAAGACCCCCGAAGATGCCCCTCGCAAGTCGTTCGATATCTTGGGCCTCATTTTGCTATTTATATCTGTTATCTGTTTCTTAGCCTTTGTGCAACTCAGCCAGGCAGAGAATCTAGAAACAAAGTCAATACTTCTGACCGTTTGTGCGGCAGTGTTTGTTGGGTGCTTTACAGCCTTCTGCCTCAATGAGACTCGTTGGGCTCAAGACCCAATGATACATTTCTCATTGCTCAGTCCCAATAAATTCGGCCTGATATATAGTGCCCAAGTGTTACTCGGCATTGCACAATTTTCTGTGTGTTCTCCCCTGTCTTTCTTCTAGGTGCAACTAGTCGGTGGCTAATGATTGTGTTATTGGATCGCAGATGGCGCCCATTCTTGGGGACTATTGGGTAAGCTCTCGGGGATTATCTCCCTCGGAGGGTGCGATGTGCTGGATACCGGGTACCATCGGATTTGCATCCGGTTCATTGGTGACTGGCAAACTAATTCAAAAGTGGGTATTCCAATATGAGTCCCAGTAAGCTCATGAAAATATGGCATTTTTGCTAACATCAAGTTGGACCCCAGAACCCGTAAATGTGTTCGATGGACGATTGTTGGATTGGTGATAACAATCATAAGCTTTGCTCTGATACTTGTCCGATGGACCATCTTTGAACCTCACTTTTGGGAGATACTATACTCTTTCCCAGGATGGTTCGGCATGGGAATGCTCCTATCTTCGCAATTCGCAGCTTTATCTGCCGCAAAACCGGAGCAGAATGCCGCTACGTCTGTCACTACGTATTACTTCGCACAGCAAGTTGGATTGATGACTGGCATTACCGCCGCGAAAGCATTACTTATTAAGGAAATGAGACGTGGTCTGAATGTGGCGCTGAAAGATCAGCCTGGGCGTGCCAAGGTAAGGCCGAGCCTCTTTATCCCATCGCTATCACGCCATCTTTTTCTAATAGCGACTAGTTGATCGACCAGATAATGAAACACCGGCAGCTCATGGGCTTGGTGCCTCCTGCACTTGCAGAACCGGTGAGACTTGTCATACAAAAAAGTTATTATGTGTCACCAGGTAAGGATTCCAGACCTCTATTTAACCAGGTTCGATGTGCTAGTATCATACTGACTATTGTACAATTATAGTCATTTCACTTGCCTCTTTGCTTCTTGCGTTTTTCCTTGTGCTCAAGCAAAGGGACGTTAAGACATTTTGAGCGCATAAAGCAGAATGCGACAGCTATATCCCGCCACTGGCCTCGAGGATTTGCAACCCTTTACAACTAATCAGGTACTCGACATAATCTGATGCTGTATAAAAGTTCTAGGGTATGCTAGGTAAGATGGCGCAGGGACAGGCGTCGCATCGAGGCTTCTTATTTTATTCCCCCCAAGACTATTTTATTGTGCATATTGTTTAGAAATATATAAAACTGGAAACCAAATTAATTTACTGTATCCAAATTGAAGCTGAAATTCAAGCATCCTCTTGACGTCTAGGAAATCTGCAATAGCGTCATCCGTTTTGTTTGCTCACTCAGAAACTTCCCTCGATGATTTCGACCATAGGCAACAGTGACTGCATTTGGAATGTCATCGCGGAACATTTGCGACTTACAACAAAGGATTCTGCGCCACGCTGACCCTCCCGTCAAAAGAAGACGACCTCGATTTTGTATCCAACAAGAAGACAAAAGCTGTGGAGGTGAGACAAAATCTCTGACAGGTTAGCTGTGATCCAATACGCAAGGATTAAGAGAAGTGAGGTCTTTATGACACTGTCAAGCATGATAAGCAAAGAATTCATCATGTAGGTTTTTGAAATTCTTGACCAATCGCGTTTCCCCTGGAAGTGTTGTCATTGTTATTGTTCGCAACTCACTCAACGGCGAGGCACTACAGGAATCTTAGCTTGCGTTGCGCCATTCGGTCAGTTCATCAAGATCCAAGCACTTGATTTTCAAGCCGGGCCAAAGCTCGATATGAATCCATTCCTCCCTCGACAATTCTAGAAGAACCTATAACTGCGGATTCTCCCCTTCTGTTCGAGTACTCACCCTCTCGCCACTTTTGCTCACTGATTGGAACGGAGCACGCCTCAACTTGAGCTGCTCAGTACCTTGCGGTGACATCATATTCTGTTGTCTATAAAAATCAATACAAGTATTTTTGATACTTAAATACGTCGTCGTGTCTTCTGGTCTGCATATGTAATTGATCGCCTCGTAAGCTGGATCTATCATATATCATGCAGTCTCACGGATCTCTCGGATGAAAATATTCATGCCAAGGTAATGGTTGTTTACTGCATTTTTTTCCAAGATACTCCGTACTCCGTACAGACAAACCAATTCAAACCAAGTGCGTTGAAAATGTAATGACGGAATAAAAATATGGGACACCCAGCACTCCCCTTGCGCCCCGCGATGTGGCTACATATCTAATCTAATGAAAGTGTAGTATTTAATTTTCTAAATTCCCGGCATGACCTGAATGCAGCCGGCAAAGCGCTGGGACTGTTCTGGTTCTTTGTCTCACCTTGCTGCTCTCCGTTCGAATATTGCGTCACACATGCTGTACTATCTTGGTTCGTGCATGATCTCTCGGGTCACTATAAGAAGCTGCCAATCTACCTTGAAAACCAAATTACATTCATCATCTATAACCCACAATTGAAGACCCTGCCTCAAAATGGAACTCGAATACCCCTATGACCCCAGGTACGAACCGCAGTTCCAATCAAAATACCGACACTGACAAATCTCAGCCGCCCGTTGCCCGATGTCACCATGGAATATAATTACAAAATCTCCAACTGCCCCGGAAAGACCGTTATCTGCGTGCGTATTGCATATCCGCCAAATGGCGCAGCCGCACCCCATCGCCATGGCACCGCCTCCGTCGCCGGGTACGTCGTCAGTGGCACAGTGAATAACAAGATGAACAACGATCCTGTGAAGGTGTATACCGCTGGTGGTACTTGGTACGAAGCTCCTGGTTGTTATCACCGTATTAGCGATAACGCGAGCAAGACCGAGCCGGCGGTCATTCTTGCAACTGTGATTGTAGATACCGATGTCTTCGAGAGAGATGGAATGGATGCAATTATTCAGATCGACAAGGAGTACCTTTGAAAGGGTTGATATGCTCGGCTTTTCGGGGTCATCATTCGCGCCTCTTAATGTTCGCCTGAAGTAGCCAGAAGCAAATCAGGCGGGCAAATCATGTTTGACGGGGCCAGACCTAGTGAAGAAGTTGAAAAGCACTTGTCACCACTTGAATGTCAAACATCCTATCCCTCATGGGTCAGGCTCCCACAATGCGTGATTTGGGATCTCTGCCATGCTCCATTGCGGCCATTGTCAAAAAAGAAACTGTCGGTGTGGCTCGCGTAAACTGTGCAGGCTTACCAAGCTGAGGGGCTGGGCTCCACCAACATCACCAACATCACAGTCACCTCTTCACCTACAAATGTAACCTCGTCATCTTCAACCCCCCATCACCAATATGAACGATCGTGTCAATTAGCCGGAGTCTGGTTTTGGAACTTTTGCATCAAACAAAATCAAGTCCTCGTAAGCAAAGTCCAGAATTTTCTCGCACTTTCCCGGGATGTGGGATGTGAGATGCTCCGAATGAACTATTTTGCTCTGGCAGATGTATATGACCGGAGTAGGCTCACGGGGTCATGGGTAGACCGCAAAGCCCATAAAGAAGCCCAACCGCCCCAACCCACTATGGGCTGGTTTTTGGGCTCGGTCCCCTAGGCCCACCGATGGGCCGTGGGTCCGGGGTAAGGGCCTATTGGGCTTTAGTGGGAGCCCAATGGGCCCCAAACAATACAAATATTCCAAATAACGTGACTTTTTTTTAAAAAAAAATGCCCTATGGTTAGGTTAGATCCCGCTTCTAGGGCGTTTGGCCCGGTTATCGTTAGTCAGCCACAGATTATCAAAACAGCGGATTTGGCCATTTTTAGTTAGAGAATTATGTATATACCTGTCATCCATACCATAGACTACTAAACATGTCAATTTCTGCCCCATAACTCAAGTATATGTAGGCACATTAAGGCATTAGGATGGAAAAACCAGGCATTTGACCTTTGGCCGCTCTGCCCCTTCGCACTAGGGACTACGGAGTGTTGTGTTACCATTAGAGTTTACTAAAAATCTAAAATAATAATTGGGCTTGCTGCCTCCATTTAAACTTTTACGCTGTGTAACATATTTGGCTTTGGCCATTACTACCTCCTAGTAGGGCACGAGCACGCACCAGGTACTCTAAGAATGTAATTCACGAGTACCACGGTTAAAAATTATCTCATTATTAGAATGAAGATAGTTCAAGTTAATATCAAGGATGTAGTAAAAACGTCTATTATTCGTGGGAAATAATGGCTTATTCTCGTATCGATGGTTTCGGACATGGACTGACGATGATATACTTGGAAATTCACGGAAACGGTGGCATCCAGGGGGCCAGGAGCTGCTTTTCAAGTCATGTACTATGTTATGGGATATCATGTGAACACCAAAGGAACTTTGTAGGTATATAGTGATATCGATATAATTTCCACTTGACAAACCTTACGGAAGTTGAGAAATTATCTATGGATTAGATGCAACGCCTTCTGCCAACAAGAAATATGTTTTGGTGAGAATCTCTGCTTATCGAATACATTTAGAAATAAGGGGGTTATGCATTCCGTCAACAGTGTATCGTTTAACAGGTCAATGTATTGTGTTATAATGCGTGATTTCGCTATTATATATATGGACAAAGGATTATAATAAGCATATCAAACCCCCTGACCTTTCCCAGAAGTAGCAACATGTCCGACTACTCATGAATACCTTTTGTACTCCCCAGGTTGTTTACTGGTTCTGCCCTTTTATTGTGCAATCAGGTGTGCCTATAAAGTATATTTGACGCCATTGCAATCTCTTGTTGATAGACAAATGCAAATGGGTAATTGGTTTCATGTACATCGCTACATATAGATAGAAGAAGAATATTCTACGTAGGTTTCGACTGGAAATTAGGTTTGATCTGCGCTACCTGCTAACAAGCTGGCTCCTCCAGACCTGCATACTCTTCTAACTTCCCCTCCCCTCTAGTGCCACGAAATACTACAAGGGTAGCGGATATCTTTTCCGTAAGTCAAGCCAGGCAAGAATAAATTTGAACCAGTTTCTGCTACAGAATCTGCAGAATGAACAATCGAAGGATAGTTATATCAATACTTCTTCTTGCAAAATCCCTCTTTCCATCAACATGAAGTTTCTCTGCCTTTATGGGGGCGGGACGGGCGAGGAGGTATGTACATTTCAACATCAGGTTACAGGAGGGATGCTAAGATGATAGATATAGTTGTTCAAGGAAAATCTGGGTAGGTAAACCGTAGAATTTTGTTGAATGTCTCTAAGTGTGTGTCAGAGCCACTCAACGCTGCATTGCCTGCTGAATACCACGTCCAATTCCAATATGTGAAACCGTTGCATGAAATACCATTTGTTTCGGCCGATATGGCTGCATATGCAGGCCCAGGACCATACCTGCGGTATGTCGAGTATCCACAGGAAGCCACTGTACCAGGTCTGCTCCAAGAAATCAATGGAACTACGTCGGGCAGTGCTGAGCAGGTATGGCGCGGGGCATTCGACTGGTTCTACCCGAAAGGGTTGGATGAGCAGCGTCAGTTCAAGGAGAGCATCGGGAGGTCTGTTGGGTATCTGAATGATATCATTGACCAAGACGGGCCCTTTGATGGTCTAATTGGGTACTGTGAAGGGGCTTCGATTGGGGCTGCGCTCATTTTCGACCGCCTAACTCGCCAAATCCCTAATCCGTTCAAGTGTGCGCTCTTTTACGGTGGATATGCCCCCCTACGTTTCCAATGGGTCCAAGTTCGTTCTCGCTGATGAGGTTGGGACGGTCTTTCACTTTCCCACTTGCCATGTCATCGGATCAGATGACCCCATGATAGACGGCTGCACAACTTTGTTGAACCTATGTGACAGTGCCCAAGCGACGGTAGTGGAAGGAGGAGCGGGCCATTTGATGCCGCAGGATAGTTTCGCTATCCAAGCGGTCAATGACGCGTTTTGCAAATTGGTGGAAACGGCAGTTGGAAGCTATTCCGAGAACTTCTAGAGTGTGGTTGGTAACGGTGTATCGTGATAGCAGGGGATGTAGTTTTTCTTTTCCTTTTTTTTGGCTTGGTACGCAAATTTGTACTTGCCCTTGGCCACAATATATCTCCATAGTCATGACACTCATATACAACCGTGGTGTTTCTCTACCTAAAGAGGTTCATGACTGTATATAATAGGATCCTGTGGGATGCTTGGATGTAGAAAAATTGCCATTTAAATATCATGAACCCGGAATTATCCGTAACTGCCGCAGATCTCTAGGGATCTCTACACGATAGAGATCTGTATGGAGAAACATGATCTATCTAGTCACAGCTAACTACATATGTGCGTAGCAAATAGCTGCTGTCACCACGGGTGTCTAAAGGGTCTGCCCACAAAAGAAAACAAAGGCCCAAAGTGCAAAAAAACCTTCCTATCGACATTTATGTTGAGGCATCCAGATCTTTGCCTTCTACTCGCTGAATAAGCACAGCTGTGGCACCTCCACCCCCATTGCAGATAACTGCAACACCATACTGACCGTGAGCCAGCTGGTGTAAGAGACTGACCATAATTCGACAACCTGAGCTGCCCAAGGGATGACCGAATGCGATGGCTCCCCCATTGACATTAACCATATCAGGGTCCAAGCCGAGCAGCTAATCAATATAGTAAGTAAAGTGAACTAATCTCAACGAGTTATCGATCCACACACCTGTTGTGAAGTTATCACTACGATCGCAAAAGCTTCGTTAATTTCCCATAACGAGATCTGTTCAGCACACATTTGGGCTCTCTCAAGGACAAGCTGAATTGCCTTGGTTGGAGCTAGAGCAAACTCATGTGGGGCAACGGCGGCATCGGCATAAGCTATTATTTTCGCCAACACTCGATTTTCTCGACAAAACTGCACGGCGACCTGGGCATCCACCAGTACCACTGCCGAAGCACCATCGCTTAGTGGACAAGCGTTTCCTGCGGTGACTGTCCCATCGGGGGAAAACACGGGCTTCAAAGACTGAAGTCGGTTGAAGAGGCTTTCATGGGGGAGACTGTCGGTGTCAAATATCTCGGCTGCCCCTGCATTTACTGACACGGGTGTAATCTCTTCTTGGAAGACATTATTCTGCTGTGCTTGATATGCCCGATTATAGGCAGCGAGGGCATAGTCATCCTGGTCTTCACGGGTTATACCCAGCTGGTGCGCGACACCCTCAGCACAGGCGCCCATAGACCGACCGTCTGAGGAGTTAATCAACCCATCAAGCTGGAGACCATCAATTACCAGATTTTCTTTGGAATTCGTGTCATCTCCTTTCTTTAGATACCCGGGGACATTCGACATACTCTCCATTCCCCCGGCCACCTGAGCAACGGCGTGCCCTAGTTGGATATTCTGGGCAGCAAGTGTGATGGCCTTGAGCCCAGATGCGCATACTTTGTTTATCGTGGTAGCCTCGATATCTGGCGCCAAACCGGCCTGTATCGCAGCCTGCTTTGCTGGGGCCTGGCCAGCGCCAGCTTGAAGCACTTGGCCCATGTAAACATCCGAAAACAAATCTAGCGGTACTTGTGATCGACGGATGGCTTCACGAATTGCGATGGCTCCAAGAGTGGTGCCCGGGACAGAGTCTAGCTGGGTATTAATCTACACCAATCAGCCATTATTTGAAACCCTAGGGGCTTGACTCCCTGAACTCACGCGTGCAGTGGGGGTCCTCGCCGCCCCAACAATGTATACTGGGCTCATCATGATTTTATTGTTACGGCGGGACCATAATAATTGATGTGTGCCCAATCCCCTTTTATGGCCCATCTTCGCTCGGGGTTCCGCGCCATATCAAAATTTCTTGAGGTATATTGGTGTGCACGGTCCCGCTGGCCTGGTGTCGGCAAATATTGATGCAGTATTATTATTTGTAGATCATCCTACATGTCGTATAAAAACGATCTCGTGGAGGCAAATGTCCGTGGAGTAGTAGCATCTGTAGATTATGCTATGGACTGTGCCAAAACGCATGCGGGCAAATCTCGATCCAGTAGTAGTATCCGTCGATCAGCCTTTTAACCGTGCCAAAAGCCGCCGTTCGGAGATTATATCCAGGGGCACGGGATCTGATAAAACACCATTCAACGGGTAGTCCTAACGGAAAGTTTGTAGCGAGCAGGTGCATGTCGGATTCCAGTCCGCCGATATATTGTATTTTCCTAATCTGGATAGATAGGCACTGCATGTGTTTGTTCTTGACTTAAAAACCTACACGAGAAACAAAACACACCCGGCTTGATCGCCTACGAGAATAGACATATGCATCGTTCTTTATTGGGATGAGACGCCTAGCCACATGTCGTATATCCCTCGCCCAGCAGGTATGCAAATGACCCTTTTAACTTCATATGAAAGTTTGGCCTATGTAGATCGTCGACCCTCCGTTTAGCAGTAGCCTAGTAGGGTGTAATATCTTTGGATTTGCGTGCAATTCGGCTGTTGCGGAAGGGTGATAATGGCCGGAGACAAGTGCATTGAAAACTGTAAATATAAATGGTAACATCCAGGGCGCACTTAGGTGGGAGCATGTAGTTGAACTTGAGAAACTTTGCTACATATTTATCAACAATGGAATCAACCAATCACCCTAGCATGGAGCCTATCGCCATCGTCGGAATGGCCTGCCGACTCCCTCCTGATATATCTACTTTGGGGGAGTTCTGGAGCTTCTGTGCTCACGGAAAGAGTGCTTGGACCGAGAACCCCGAAGGCCGTTTTGAGAATGCAGCCTTTTGGAACAAGAACGCAGACCGAAAGGGAAAGGTAATTGTCACTATTCTAAATTACAGATCGCGGAGTTGACCAGTGATAATTAGATCAACAACAAAGGAGGCCATTACCTGAGCCATAACCTTGCCCATTTCGATGCTCCGTTCTTTCGCATTACGGCCAACGAAGCGAAGGTGAGAGTGACTGTGGCTCTCATGTTGTTGATTCGATGAACTGATTGATTGGGGTTTCTTAGGCTATGGATCCACAGCAACGATTTCTCCTTGAGGTCACCTACGAAGCGTTGGAGAATGGTAGGTGGTAACACTAAGCCCCTGTGACGCAGTCCCAATCTTCTGACCAAATCTTAACCAGGGGGCTTTCCAATGGAGGAAATGGCCGGCAAGGATGTCGCAGTCTTCGCAGCAAACTCCTTCTCGGACTACTTGCATGGTATCACCCGAGACCCTGAGACTGCACCTACCTTTGCAATGACCGGATGTGATCCCTGCATGATTGCAAATCGACTCTCCCATTTCTTTGATTTCCGCGGCCCTAGCATTACTGTGGATACCGCATGCTCCTCGGCTCTGACTGCCATCCACTTGGCCTGTCAAAGTCTTCGCTCAGGAGATTCGCCATATGCCATTGTGGCCGCTGCACATCTGAACATCTACCCTCAGAGCACCATTCTATACTCTTTATCCCAGCAAGTCTCATCTACGACTTTTTACGTCTCACTTACGCTAACTTTAATGAATAGGCTTCTTTCTCCCGAAGGAAAGTGTTACGCGTTTGACGACCGGGCTACGGGGGGATTCGGTCGGGGGAGGGAGCCGCGTGCTTGGTACTTAAACCTCTCAGCGCAGCCCTCGAAGCAGGGGATCATATTTACACTGTCATCAAGAACACGGGGATCAACCAAGATGGCCGAACAAATGCTGGAATCACTGTCCCAAGTGGCGAGGCCCAAGAAAGCTTGATTCGGTCCGTGTATGCTTCTTGTGGCCTTGACCCATCCGAGACTCGGTATGTGGAAGCACATGGAACCGGTACTGCCATCGGCGACCCAATCGAGGTGGGGGCCATTGCCAATATATTTGGCAAACAGGGCACCGGCTTGGAACCAACCTTTATCGGATCAGCGAAGTCAAACTTTGGCCATTTAGAAGGGGTCAGCGGCCTAGTATCTGTTATCAAGACTGCAATGATGCTTGAGAAGGGAATGTTGTTGCCCAATACCAACTTTACCAATTCAAATCCCAAACTACATCTGCAAGTGAACAACCTCCAAGTGCTCAGTGGGATAAAGCCCTGGCCAAAGTCTGGAGTCCGCAGGGCATCTGTCAACAACTTTGGTATCGGTGGCTCCAACTCGCATGGTATCTTTGAGCAAGCACCACCAAGACCTAGCCAAAAGCCGTCGGGCGGGTCATACATATTTGCCCTCTCGGCGAACTCTAAATACTCATGTCGAATGCAGTTGAGCCAACTGTCGGCCTATGTGCGAAAGCATCCCCTATTCTTCAACCAAACTATCATGGAAGACCTAGCTCTCACCATCTCGACGCGAAGGTCTCTGTTGCCTTGGAAGGCTGTTGTCACCGCAAGCAGTCATACTCAGCTTGTAGAGAAGCTACGTGCAGAGTCTACTACACCAACGCGTTCGACCAAGCGGCCATTGGTGGGCCTAGTCTTCACCGGACAAGGTGCCCACTGGCCACAGATGGGCCAAGAACTTGGCTGCTATCCAGTATTTGCGAACTCTTTACGAAAGTCGCAAGCGACACTTTTGGAGCTAGGGGCCACCTGGAAACTGGAAGGTAAGAACATTAATTGTCATACAATATCACAAGTGATATACTGACTAGCTATAGATGAATTGCTCAATAGTTCTAAACAGTCTCAGCTGGGTGTGCCACAGATCAGCCAAGTCGCCTGCTGCGCCATCCAAATTGCTCTGGTAGACTTGCTGCACTCATGGGGACTGGACATTACCGCCGTGGTCGGCCATTCTAGCGGTGAAATCGCTGCTGGTTATGCAGCTGGCCTCTTGTCTGCCGCCACCTGTATCAAAGTGGCATATCATCGTGGAATGGCGACAGTGGAGATGAAAGAAAAGTTCCCAAGTCTAAAGGGATCCATGATTGCTGTGGGATGTAGCGAGGCTATATTACAGACCCTACTCGCCTCCCTGACCTCCGGCTCGGCAGCTATCGGCTGCAAGAATAGTGCCTCTAGCTTTACGGTGTCTGGTGACCGCAGCGCAATAGAGGAGCTTCACGCCCTATGTAACGCGCAAAATATTTTCAATCGTACATTGAAGGTTGATATCGCCTACCACTCGAGTCACATGAGTGTCGTTGCAGAAAGCTACCTCGCAGCCCTTGGCGACATCCAGTGTGATGAGAGTCCAATCAAATTTTTCTCCTCAACCGACGGTGGCCTGCTTCAAGACCCAAAGCTAGACAATCGTTACTGGACGAGAAATCTGACTGGTCAAGTCCTCTTTTCGGACTCCCTATCGGCTATGTGTCGCTATAATGAGTCAATTGGCGGGGAGAAACGTGGAATCAACATACTTGTGGAAGTTGGCCCCCATGCAGCCCTCAAAGGTCCTGTTTCACAAGTGATAAAAAGTATTGCAAAGAACCAAGATATTGCGTACTTCCCAACGCTGGTTAGGGGCAGAAACGGGGTTCATACTATGCATGAACTGGTAGCCTCGCTATTGCTGAAGGGATTCCCCATTAATTTGGAGAAAGTCAATTTCGGAAACACCCCGAACCTATCCAAGCAGTTCACTGTGTTGGGAGATCTTCCATCTTATCCATGGAAGCACCAGGAAGAATATTGGCAAGAACCACGAATCAACAAGTTTTATCGGACAAACAAGATGCCCTATAATGATTTACTGGGCTCTTTTGCTACCGACTTCAACACCCTGGAGCCACGATGGAGGAGCATCATCCGCCTGGATGACCTACCATGGCTTCGCGATCATCGTGTGCAGTCGGAAGTAGTCTTCCCCATGGCCGGATACATTTCCATGGCTATTGAGGCCGCATCGCAATATAATCTGCTCCAGGGGAAGGCCAATGGTGTATCATACATTCTTCGAGAGGTGCTGGTCAAGTATCCGTTGATACTCTCTGAGATGACTGAGTACGATATGACCCTGTCACTTCGCCCCTGTATCATTGGTCCTCAAACCCAATCCAAAAAGTGGTACGAGTTTGCCATATTTTCATGCTGCGGAGATTCAGAGTTCGAAGAACGCTGCAGAGGAAAGATCTGCGTTTTAGACAGGCCTCAGGCTAAGAACAAAAGTGGCTACATTTTCCCGGACGGGTTTCCCGGACTAGCACTAGATCACACCAATTTCTATACAGCTGTCAAGAATTCTGGTATTGAGTATGGTGCCTCGTTCCAGGGCCTGCATGATATCAAAGCTACTGGCTGTGAGGCCATCGCAAAGCTGAGAATTCCCGACACCGCAAAGACCATGCCCTCTATGTGCGAGAGCGCGTACGTGCTGCATCCAGCCACAATCGATATCCTGATGCAAACGGTGTTACTCCTCGCACGCTCTAGATTTGGGGGACTGGACAGACTCTACATGCCCCGCTATATCGAAGAAATTGAGGTTCGATCCCCAACTGTCCTGGCAGCAGACAATGATTTGGCTGTCAGCGGGATAATTTCGAGTCCTTCTCTGGATGTTCCCGTATTCTCTCTGTCTGCACAACAGGAGAATGGAGGTTTAGTTTCGATCAAAGGCCTTCAATGTCGAGGGCGGCCTTTGCCGGAAGTTTCCTCTACCATGACCAATTTCTGCCACAAGATCGAATGGATGCCCTGGGTGGACATTCTATCGGCCGATGAACTACGCCGTGCTTTTGAGGTGTCAAATGAAGGCGCAGCTCATGAGAGGTCGCGTATCAGAATTCTCAACGATGTTTCGTTGTACTACATGCATGAAGCACTGGAGCAGCTTGGGGATTATGATGGGTCACGACAAGTAAACATGTACCGCTGGATGAAAGAGAGGGTCCAAGAACTATGGCACAATACTATAGATGACCAACAGGCCCAGGAGCTTATACAAAAAGCAAGCCAGGTTGGATCGGTTGGAGAGTTCCTTTGCCGGATGGGCGAAAACATCGCCCGGATCATTCGCGAAGAAGTGGAGCCTCTCAGCCTCATGCTGCAAGATGATTTACTTACGAGGTATTATGAGGACTTGGAGCCTCTGAAAAACCGTCTATATCCAGCTGCGGCATCAATCGTTGCTTGCTTGGCTCACCAGAACCCCAACATGCGCATCTTGGAGATTGGGGCTGGAACAGGGGGGACGACACTTCCCATTCTACAAGCTCTCGGTGAGCCAGGACCAACTGGTCAAACCCTGTTTGATTCCTATGTTTTCACTGATGTCAGTGCTGGGTTCTTTGAAAAATCCAAGATCAAGCTCCAGACGTGGAAGCAGGTGTTGGACTTCCAAGTTTTGAACATCGAAGCTTCGCCAGAGGGTCAGGGCTACACAGAAGGGACCTACGATCTGATCATCGCGGCCAATGTTTTACACGCGACGGTGAATATGTCGAAAACAATGACCAACGTTCGTTCCCTTCTCAAACCGGGCGGTAAGCTACTTTTGCTGGAGATAACGAGCCCAAGCATAGCATCATTCCCCTTTGCGACACTACCCGGTTGGTGGCTTGGAGAAGAAGAATTCCGTCAAAATGGTCCCACCCTTTCGTCTGTGACTTGGGACAGTGTTTTACGATCGACGGGTTTCTCTGGTATTCAGGCGGAGCTTCACGATTACCCTGGCGCCCTTGAGCAAGAATGCAGTTTGATTGTGAGCTCGGCTACCGCACCCGATCAATGGATCCCAAGCAAAGACCTCACTATTGTCACTGGCGGCTCTTCAGAGGGTCTCGCAGAAGCGCTCAAGAGCAGCCTTGCTGAATCGCTACAAATTACCGCACGTGTTGTGGCACTCGACGCCATTGCCACTGAACCTAGTACTTCGAAGAATTACATTGTATTAGAAGACTCTGACTCTCCTTTTATGCATTGTATAAGCGAGGTTCAATATCGGGGCCTCCAGCGCATCTGCGAGGCGGATAGAAATCTGTGGGTGGTAGCAGGGGCCAACCAGGACTCTGTGGATCCCGAGGCGAGCATGACCTTAGGGCTCACCCGAAGTATTCGGGAAGAAAACCACAATCAGAAGCTGGTTGTATTGGATCTGGATCTCGTCAACCGGCTCCCAAATGCTGAAGCAGCTTCCATGATTCTCCGCGTCTTCTCACAGTCGTTTGTCAAGCCAGACGCACCTCTGGCAGAGCCCGAACTCTCTGAAAGAGACGGAATTATTCGGATTCCACGATTCAAGCCGGATACTGGAATGAACCAGTTAATCACTGACACACGGGAGCAATTTGCACCGAGGTCTGAAACCGGTTGGGAGAGTGGTCATCTACTTAAGATGCAGTTACAAGCACCGGGAACCTCCAAAAGTCTCACCTTTGTTGATAATGGGTTATCACGACCGGCCATCAATGACCTGGATGTTGAAGTCGAGGTTAAGGCAAGTGGAGTCAGCTTTCAAGACACCTTAATCAGCAACGGCAAGGTTATCGGAGACCTTGGCTACGAATGCAGCGGCGTGATTACAGCTACTGGCCTCGGGGTCAAGGATCTGGCCGTTGGTGATCGTGTGTGTGCTTTGACACGAGGTACATATGCATCCATTGTGCGCTGCCCCTCGGTCCAGGTAGTCAAGATTCCCGATTCAATGGCATACACTACTGCGGCCGCTATTCCTATGGCATTTGTCACAGCCTACTATTCTGTAGTAACGGTTGGTCACCTCGAGCGAGGGGAGAGAATTCTCATTCACCAGGCTGCAGGAGGTGTCGGTCAAATGGCCGTGAGACTTGCACAGTATCTTGGTGCCGAGGTCTATGCGACAGTTGGTTCTTCCGAGAAGAGGGAAGCAATCGCAGACTATTTCCAGATTCCGTTCGACCACATCTTCTGCAAGGATCAGATCTCAACATACGAAGATCTGATGGACGCGACAGCAGGGAGGGGCTATGATGTCGTTGTGAACACTCGGTCCAATGAAGCATTAGATGTGTCCTGGAAGTGCCTAGGACCCTATGGAAGATTTGTGAATCTTGCCCTCGCGGATATCTTGGATGACAACCGTCTTTCAATGAGACCGTTTAACAGAGGTGCCTCCTTCTTCTCGATAAACCTGGAGGCCCTAATGAAAGACAAACCTCAGCTTTTGCAAGATATTTTAACCCGGGGAATTGATTGGTACGCTACTGGGGTGATAAAGTCAGGGATGTCGCCCAATTGCTACTCCGTTGGGGCGATAGAGGATGCCTTTAAGCATCTAAGCGAGGGCAATTCAATCGGGAAGCTAGTCGTTGATTTCTCATCGCCAGGACCGGTATCGGTAAGAGACTCTTTCTATTGTAAGGTGGGAATAGCCAAATACTGATTTGCTACAACAGGTGGCCAGGGATGAGGCAAGTATGCCATTGTTCACGCACGATGAGTCCTACCTTGTCGTGGGTGGGGGTGGTGGTATTGGACGAAGTATTGTTCAGTGGATGAGCCGCAGAGGTGCCAAGAACATCATTATCATGACTCGCAGCGGGCTACAATCCCAAAGAGTGCGCGAGCTAGAGTCGGAGATGCAACTGAAAGGCATACGGCTGGCGGTGTTCCAAGGTGACGTTGCAGATTCCAACAGCCTGGAAAATGTTATTCAGGAGAGTGCAAAAATTCTTCCGCCCATACGAGGTGTCATCCACAGCGCCATGGTGCTGAAAGTGAGTAAATCTGAATTCTGCTTGCATAAGAGTCACTATATACTAACCCCCACCCTCCAGACCATGTTATTTGAGAACATGCCCTATGACGATTATCGCGCGGTGGTCAGCCCTAAGGTTCAGGGTGCATGGAACCTGCATCAGTATTTCAGTGATCCCCACAGTCTCAGGTTCTTCATCATTATCTCATCCATTACTGGTACCATTGGAGCCCCAAGCCATTCTGCCTACGGTGCCGCCACAACCTATTTGGGCTCACTGGCACGGATGCGAAATGCTCAAGGTCTTCCTGCTGTCTCCGTCGACTTAGGCCCAGTGACCAAAATCGGATACATTGCCGAGCAGAGCAGTCGACAGCAGGTGATTGACAAAAACTGGGGTGATGAGGGCCTCACCGACATGGACATCAATGACATTCTGGATACGGTGATCAGTGGGCGATATGATCCCAGTTGGGATGCCGAATGTTATACCTGCTTGCTTCCGCCCTCCTCGCATGTTCCTTTCTGGTTTTCTGATAGTCGATTCGTTCATTGCCGGCACCCCCGTCTTACGGGAGAACAGGGCACTGACAACATCGATGAAAAACCGGTTATTCCACTAGGCCAGTTGTTGTCCAAGAGCCAGTCTCTTGAGGATGATCAATCCATCATTTACGAAGCTGTTGTGGGCAAGTTTGTCTCGGTCTTGTCCTTGCACCCAGATGACATTGTACCCTCGAAGCCTCCTAGTGCCTATGGAGTTGACTCTTTGGTGGCTGGTGAGATCCGCAATTGGATTGTGCGTGAAATGAAAGCGAGTCTGAGTCTACCAGAGCTTATGAGCAGTGCTTCCTTTGTGGACTTGTCCGACACCATCACACAACGGTATCGGGTAGCCAAGGCGGCCTAGTGCTATTTTACAAGTTCCGTTTTATTTAAAGATTTCGTTGAAAGGGAGGGCTCCACGATTTACTACCCGCACTCGATGCGCTCCCATGCATATAAAGGGATTAAGATCAAGAAGGGATAGCATGATACTGATAGGGGCAATTGAGTGTAATTATTGAAGAAAGAAAAACCATTTTGGACGATGGGGAGTTCGACGCATTGATGCAGATCCTGACCTAGGGGTAAATGGGTGAAAACATTGTACGCAGCAACGTAGGGGTCGAAGGCTTGTAGAAAGTGGCTAGCAAACCTGACTGTCGTAGAGTGACATATTTTCCGTTAAGGCGCTTGGAGTCTCCGTTACTGATGTACATGTAAGCCCCGGCAAGATTGTGACGCCTTTTAATTATGCCAGATCTGAGATCTGAGATGGCGGAGAATTTAACCCTGTAAGTAGTAAATTCTGTCCTGGTCAGTTGTAAGTTTATTATCTTAATCTTTCTCACTCTTGCCAGAGTAAACCTAGTCTCTGTCTGTCGCGCATTTTGTATGGTCTTCTTGTCACATTGCCTTCACTTATCTCTCATAAATGAATCAAGTAATGAAGCCCCAACACGTAGCAACTGTGGTCATATATCATAGCAGAATATTCTTAATTCATCACTGAGGGCGTTTTTGTTTTCACTTATTCTCTATCCATGCTACATTGAATTTTTAGAACTGTCGTGAGGGTAAAAAGAAGATTGGTTGGGGCTTCCTGTGTGTATGTATCTGCCTCCTCGGCCTGCTTGACTGTCTAGACCTGCTGGGCTAGTCTAGGTGTCGGGTATTCACCAAATCTCCCTGTACAAAACTGCAGTAACCTGGCACCCTCTTTTGCCCCAGCCAAGTCACACAATGTGGTGTCGCCTGATCAGATTACCAGCGGTGTTACAGTAGTCGACGGTACAGTGAACCCGTTTGTCTTTTCGGCTGGTGTGCCATTCGTTCCTGAAAACTCTGGTCAGAAGCTTGCCTGCGACGAGGGATGCGACGACCAACTTACACGACTGTGGCACTCCTAGCTCCAGCAGGTGGTTGGCAAACGATCAAGTTGATGATGCTCGTCTTGTTCTCTGGTTCGTTGTTGTACATGTTGAACGGCTCGAAGATGATATCTCTGGGATTCATGATGAAGTAAAAGTTGATCTGAGAAACTGAGATAGAAAATGAGTTTTGAGCTTACTGCTCAACGTGCTTGCTTATTTGATAAGTGCATCACTGATCAACTATGGAATAGATAGGGTTATTTCAGAAGCAGGGTGTCTGTTGTAACGAACTATCTATCCGTGGTCATCTTTTAGGAAGGCGCGTAGGACTAGTTCTGCACTTGTCCTTGGTCCTCGTTGGGTGCTACCTAGGTACATTATGTATGTATGTATGTAACTGTATGTACCGGATTTTAGGCCACGGTCGCGAATTTCCCGATCGGGGTGCCGCCGCTTTTATGAGGGCGCTCAGGCTCCTGCTCACTGAGTATTTCACAGCACGGGTGATCACTGTGAGCACTTAGGGTATACTTAGTAATGTAAAAAATATTGCTCAGTGAACGCTCAGGCTATGCTCAGTGAGTGCTCAGGTCTGTTCAGTGAACACTCAGGTTTGCTCACTCCAGGCTTGTAATTCTAATAGTTCTTCCATCGGTCCGCCTACCAAGCTCGGAGCGGACGATCAAAGAAGGGAAACTGAGCTATTCTTGAACCAATAAAGTTTTCTGGCTTTTCACATTTTGTTTCTTTTACTGTTAGAAATATGCGGGTCCAATAGAGATTACGGAAGAGTATCTGACATCAGGATGAGTCGTTCATCAGGTAGACCTCAACTTTAAGGATAATCTTCCCCCATCTCTCTATTCTCTATACCCGAGACGATGACCTAGTCTTAACTAGCATACGGCTTCTGCGGTCAACAAAAGCTCAACATGCAATCTGCGGACAAGCCGACTCGATCAGAAATTGACTTGGCCTTGCCTGGAGAGAAAACTCAAGATGAAATCAAGATCGAAAAGAGTGGAGATATTGATGCTCTTCAACGGTATCGGTGGAACATGGTTAGAAAAGCGCCATCCTATGTTGGTAGAGCGATTGAGCTTCTCCGGATAGAACAAGACCTCCGAAATACTGTCCAGGAAGAGCAATGCCTCGCCAAGAAGCCTGAGGCCACAGGCAGCTGGCTACTCTATAGGAATGATGTACAGGCCGTGCTTCAGGCTTTGAAGAAGAGATATTGGTTGCTGGAACTCCAGTGGTGGAAAGTCCGAAACTCATTCGTGGAGGGGCCACTGATAAGAGCATTTGATCTGTGGCGATCACATCCTCTCTGGTATATGCACCGAGTTTTGTTCGAGGATTGCGTGAGGAAGGGGGGGATGCTGTAGCCGTGGCTGTGGATGTTGCGCTAATCGCAAGATTGATAAAACACGACAGCTTGGGGCTGGACATTGTATGGTGGAATGTGGATGTTGTCACCAGGCTCGGGGGTTTGAGCTTACCAAAAAAGAAAAGGAGGAATTCCTTAGGGATTTCCATATCGTGGATGACAATAGCTTTTACCGCCAAAGGGTCAATCGAGCTTCGATATGGGGGTTATCTCTTGACAGTCATGACAGCCCTTTTGATCTGATTGTAATGCCCCCAGGATACGAGAGCGATGTTTCAAAAGAGCAGACGAGAAGAGGCAAGGCGGACCAATTCGATGAGCCATTCATGCTTATTGACGAAGAGGACGAGGAAGAAGTTGTGGTACCTTAAGTGTCAGTGTCAGGCCACTAGGTGCCTGCTTGCTAGTTTGAGGTTTTATTGTGCAATTCAACTCTTTCTTTGGCTTCGAATCCCCTGATCTAAACTTGCAGTCGTTCCCGAAGTCCAACCTCCACACGCTTCCTTCCTATTTAGGAACATTCGTGCCTGCCATTGTAGTCCTCGTTTCACGTGCACCTTCCAATTGCTACTTTACTACCTTGTTACCTTACGTAGAGAGAATTTTGGTTCTGTAAACATCGCAAATCACCACCTTTTCTCACAGTGAGTTATCCCAGCAGTCCTTTTTGAGGTCTTTTTTGCTAACACAGCCCTGTCAGCAGATGTCGGCCGCGAAAGCCTTTCCTGTCGGTGAAAACCCGTCGCCCAACGATTACTTTGCCCGCTTTGCGGCGTTTTTGGACCGTCTGCTGGCCGCCTTAACCCCCAGCGAGACGAAGGCTTTCTTGTGGGCCCTTTTGGGCATGTATGTTTGTTTGCTGGCCGTATGGCGCCTTGACGCCCTCCTGGAGAGGTGGTTTGACTAGTATGCACTACTTACATCAAACCCTATGATGTTGGATACTAATAAAAGTTACAGCCACTACCCCCTCCCAAACCCGGCCCAGCTGTGCATTTGCCTTCTAGGTAGAGGCATAACAACTAGGATCGACCGCCAAATTAATGACACCAGCCTTTCGTTGAGGGGACAACGGTCAAGAGTGCTGGGTGAACGACTGCATTTAGATGGGGCTAGCGTGGTGCATTTTATTGAGGTGACCTGCTGGTTTAGCTGCTCTCCCACTTTGCTCAGGCTGCTCAGGTGACGCCCAGTGAGCAAGTCCTTGAGCTTATGTAATAATCAGGTCACGCTCAGTGAGTGGGATTAGGCTGCTCAATGAGCAAATCAGAATGCTCAGGTCACGCTCAGTGAGCGAGTCATCTAGCTTATGTAATAATCATGCGATGCTCAGTGAGGGGAATTGCTACAGACACGGCACGTTTTGCTAGTAGCACGGCACATTAGGTAATATTCCCTTTACATAATCAATTTTGACCGAGATCGTTACCATACATTACCACAGCAACTACATTACTTACTACTGTAGCAACTACATTCTATCTACTTCTGCTATAAGAACCACTCTATCTTCTCATTGATCTTACTTCATCCAATTGATCTTACTTCATCCAATTGATCTTACTTCATCCAATTGATACTTGATTTCACCTAATCATGGAGCCACCAATTGAGCAAGTCTTTGAGACTAGAGAGCAACTCCTTACTTCGATACGACAGCATGCCCTATCTCATGGTTATGCTATCACTATCATCAACTCCGCTAAGGAGAGGAATATTTGTCTTGGTTGTGATAGAGGCGGTATATACCATGATCATATTGATGCCCCAGAAGGGGCAAAACGCCGGAAGACAAGTACTAGACGGATGAACTGCCCATTCCGCCTTTATGCAAAGAAGCTTGTTGATACTAATCAATGGGAAATCCAGGTAAGAAATCCTAATCATAATCATGCAGCTACTAATAATATGATAGGGCATCCTATGGCAAGGCGTCCACAGCTTACTAAAGATCAAAATCAAACTATTAAACATCTATCAGATATTGGATCTCGACCGCAGCATATTATAAGTCTATTAAGAAAGGATCAACCTGATATCTTAATAAGACCAAAAGATATTTATAATATAAGAGGTAGTATAAGACAGAAAAAGCTTAGGAATCACTTACCTCTTAAACTTCTTCAACAGATATTAATTCAGAATCAATGGAAATATGCATTTAAACAAGATATAGAAGGTCATATTCAATTTTTTATGTTCGCTCACCCTGAATCAATTAAGTATGCTAATCAATATAATAGGGTCTTTTTATTAGACTGTACTTACAAGACGAATCGGTATAAGATGCCTCTTTTACATATTATTAGTCTCTCGCCATCGAATTCATCCTATAGTATTGCTTTCTGCTTTATGCAAAATGAGCAGGAAGAAAGCTATAAGTGGACTTTACAGACTTTTTTTTTATAGCTTGACCCCTTACCCTTTTCTCCAGTTCTTTGCACTGACAGAGATCTTGCTTTATTAGGTACAATTAAATCTATCTGTCCTAGAAGCCCACATCTACTATGCATTTGGCATATTAATAAGAATGTGCTGGCAAAGACAAAGCAATATTTCTCTTCAAATGAGGAATTTGAGGCTTTTATCAAGTCATAGAAAGAGCTAATTAATTCATCAAATATTGATGAATATAATGCTCAATTAGCTAAGTTCACAACGCAGTTTAATCAAATTGCCCCTAATGCTCTTAGATATATTCAAAGTACTTGGCTAACCTATAAAGAGATGTTTATTAGGGCTTGGGTAGGGCAATATCTTCATCTTGGTAACTGGGCTACATCAAGAGTGGAGGGGTCTCACGCTTTTTTAAAAAAGTATATAGGGGGGATCTTCAGGTGATATGCTTCATGTTTTTGAGAGAATTAATAATGCTTTACAGGCTCAGTATCAGCGACTTGAATCTGATCTTACAGAAGATAAGATTAAGAGACTAAATTTCTGCTCCCACTTTCTCTATTCGAATATTATAAAGAGAACATCACGATATTCAATATCTTTAATCTCTAATCAAGCTGCTATAGCTAAGAGAGCTACCCCCGAAGCACCTTTATCAAACTGCACTAATATATTCACTAGGACAATGGGCCTTCCGTGTGCCCACCGAATCGCTAGTTTATTAACAAAACATCAACCAATCCCACTAAGCGATATCCATCAATTTTGGAGGATTGGCCTTAGTAATGAGTCATCTATGTATCTGCCAATACTAGATCCTCTATTACCACCACCAACTCGCAGATCAGCTCAAGAGAACATATCAGATCAAAACATCAAAACATCAAACCAAAAGGTCACTAAGAAGAAAGCACCCTCGAAGTGCTCAAATTGTGGAGAAATTGGCCATACAATCCGCTCCTGCAGAGTGTGAAAAGCATGTAAATAAGATGAAAAGCACAATAAGATTGACTAGAGAGAATTGATTCATGGTCGGGTTCTTATAGTAATGAAGCAGTAGTAGATAGAATGTAGTTGCTACAGTAGTAAGTAATGTAGTTGCTGTGGTAATGTATGGTAACGATCTCGGTCAAAATTGATTATGTAAAGGGAATATTACCTAATGTGCCGTGCTACTAGCAAAACGTGCCGTGTCTGTAGCAATTCCCCTCAGTGAGCGGGTTTAACGATTACGTAATACACAGGGGCGTGCTCGGCTTTACTCAGTGAGCAAAAAGCGGCAAGGGGTGAGCACTAAAACGGAAAGGGAAATCCAACTTGCCCGGCCTAAAATCCGGTGTATATGTATGTACACAACCTTGGAAGGGGCGGCTCGGCTCGCATCCGTCCACGGGTGGATCCAGATCGCCATTTAGACCAATAATAACAGCGCGATCTTCTTAGTCATACCTTCCTTGAAAAATAGCATGCAGGTACGCGCTATGACGCGTGGTCTGTGCTCTGAAATAAGGTCTGAATGTGGACGAATAAATGTACTCTGGAGACTTTTGCCCAACGCTCCTTTGGGAATATTTATCCGGTGTCTCCCATCACAATACTAATCTTGGATCTCTTACAAAACATTCACCTTGGCACCTCTTCGACAACGCAGCTCCGTTGCAGCCATGAGTATCCCGTCCCCTCCCACTCCGCTATCAAAGGCCTCGATCGATGACGAACCGAGATTCGAACCTATTACATTGCCCTGTGAGTGGGTGGAATATTACCGCCCAGGGGGTTATCATCCAGTCGCTCTCGGTGACGTCTTCAACAACTAGTACAAGGTCATCCGGAAGCTTGGCGAGGGCTCCTACTCGACAGTTTGGCTAACCCGTGACGAGAAGTAAGTTTATCTTCTGCATTTCCTACCCCAACGGTATAGATTATCGTTACTCGTTTCCTCTTAAGAAACAGTGGGTATGTGGCCCTAAAGATCCTTGTATCAGAAATATCGAGATCGACAACCGAGGTACGCATTTTGCGCCACATCACCCAAGTCGCGCCGGTAGAAGGAACCCGGCATATCACGCGACTGATAAGTAATTTCGAACACCCCAGGCCCAATGGTGTCCACAAGTGCCTGGTATTTGAGCCTATGGGTCCCAGTGTGAATACTATGGTCGAGGAACTGCCACAGTTCAAACCTCGCAGGCGAGAAATGAATGTCCGCTATCCGCTTTGGATGACAAAGAGCATCCTTAAGCAGTCCTTGCAGGGTCTTGCATTTCTCCACCGAAATGGTATCGCTCATGGAGACTTACAGCCAGGAAACATGCTTTTCGCTCTTAACAATATCGACTCGATTCCCGAGGACTTGCTCCGACAAGAAGAAGACGTGGAAGCCGGCTCAATCTCGGCCCCTGTACAGAGGCTAGACGGTAAACAAGACAAATGTGCCCCTCGATATCTTTGTGTTGCACAGCCACTACTACCCTGTACCTCCACCGAAGGGTTTAGGATCAAATTATCCGATATGGGCGGTGGTTAGTCTCTCCTCTTTCGGTTATCTATTCATTCTCTTTGGGGAATATCTATACTCACGCCCTGATTAGCATATTTCTTTACCGATCCGCCAAAAAGGCCCATCACTCCAGTCGGTCTTCGGGCCACCGAGTTGATTCTTACCGGGGCCGTTAATGATACCCTTGATGTTTGGAGTTTTGGTTGCATTTTCTTTGAGCTTATCACCGGAGAGCAGCTTTTCTGTGTACCATACTCCGAGATGGAAGATGACGATTATTATCTCTCCCTTACCACCCAGCTCGGTTCACTTCCCGACGAGTTATTCAAGCATCGGAGGACATCCTCGCTCTACTTTACACACGAGAAGAAGCTCTTTAATTGTCAGCTTGGAGGAGTCGCTCCAGGGAAGGAGCCTCTTATGCTGGAGCAGGAATCTATGGAAGAGTCATTCGATCGGGCAGCCCCGGATCTTGGTGAGGAGGAGGCTCGGAAAGTGAAGGCTCTCATTCGATGGATTTTGCAATATGAGCCCGCGAAGAGACCTTCAGCTGCGGAAATCTTATCTGAGGTTCCGCGAGATTGACGTTGGCAGCGACTCGTTCAAGGTTAATATCGTCTAGTATCTCACGTGGTCGTTGTCGTTCTCGAGATATCGGTACTCAGCTTACCGTCTCTGGCGCTGAGTTTGTGGGTGGAGAAATATTCTGGTCAAATTAGAACCACATCAGTACCAGTCAGTATGTAGTCTTCTAGAGAAACCGATAGCAGACAAAAATCTACACTTTCCTTTCAAACAAAATTCATATTTCCCGAGACGCAATCAAGCTAGACAATTCACAAATGGTAGGCCGACTTTCTCCTGAATCTCTCTGAATGCCTGAAGTAACTTTTCTTCCTCCAACTTCTTAGCAACTAACTGCAAAGAAACAGGTGCATCCTTCTGCTTTACCGGGTCATAATGCTCGTATGCCCAGCTGTCGAATTCGTTCTTCGGGGTGTAAGTGATATCCTTCGCATCTCTCTCGGGATCCACTTTGGTAACGGGGAACACAAGGGCTGAATAATCGAGAAGATTGAATAAAGAAGTATAACCCCAGTACCTGGAGGTATCGTGAAGGGGGGCGGGCGTGGGGAATGCGGGACAGAGTATAACATCCATTTCAGGCGCCACATTGTTCCACTCTGTATTAGAAGTTAGATCAGAACCCGAAGCGAACATTGATGATTTATGTACTAACCTTGCAAGTAGGCATAGCGGAACATCTCCCGTTTTCCAGTCCAGTCCCACACACCCTGCTGGCTAAGTTCCTCAATCCCAGGGGTATCCCGGAGAGTCCACGCCGTGAGCGGCGTAAACGGCTCGCCAGAGGCCTCAACATGTCCGGCAAATGCCTTTCCACCATCTGGAGCGTACAACCTGGTCTATATATGCCATTGGTTAGTTGGGCTCACCTGGATCGCTGATGTTATATAGACCACTTACCAGGATCTCGAGAGCCTCCTTCTGTTGGTATGCCTTCCATTCAATAACCTCAATACTATCCACCAATTTAAGACGTTCAACCACTTCTTTCAAGGCCCTTGTTACTGCCGGTGCGGGAGTAACGACATCGTCAGTCCACATTACACCGACGGTTAGTTTCTTGTTATTCAGGTGAATGTGTTTATCCTGGTCTCTCCAGGGGATTGGGAGCATCATCGAGTCATTGACCCAAGGCTTTGATTCGATAATCGTTTTCATGAAAAGTTCAATGCCGCCAAATGTTGGCGAAATCGGCCCAAGTGTTCCCATAATGGTCTCACATCCGAGAACATAGGAAGCGCATCCGATTAGCGGTAGGCGACCGGTCGATGGCTTTAGGCCGTAGAGGCCACAATTGGCGGCAGGTGAGCGAATACTACCGCCTGGATCTATTGTTAACAATGAAAGGAATCAATACAGCGGATGCAACATACCGATATCAGAACCAATTCCCAGAGGGCTGCCATAGAGGGCTTGCAATGCTGATTCTCCACCGGAAGAACCACCTGGTGTGAGAGCGGTATTATGTGGGTTGGTGGTGATTCCGGTGATATTGCTGCAGGTTTCAAGAGCCATCTACCGCGAAAGCACGACATCAGCCATAAATCAACAAAAGAGGGAAATTGAGATATGCTCACCAGTGCCTGTGGCTCGGTTGTCCTTGCATAAACAACTGCACCGGCATCCAACAGAATCTTGACAATAATTGCATCGTCTGGGCTCTCCCGGTCAAGCCAACTGACGAATCCAGCAGACAAGTCTCGTCCCTTGAGACCTACATGTCCTTTGATGCTAATTGGTAAGCCATGAAGCGGACCGGAGGGCTTTCCATGCTTTGCAAGGTACTCATCGAGTTCCTTGGCGCGAGCAATGGCACGGTCAGGAAGAAGCTCGTAGATACAGTTTGTCTAAGCGGATGAGTGGTTAGAATTTACCATTGGAAGAATTTGCTAGTAATAACTTGTAGCATTACTCACCAGCTTCTGAGCGATCGCAGCCCGCCGAAGAAAGGCATTTGTTACAGCGGTCGCAGTCAATTTACCGGATGCAAGAGAAGCCACCAAGGTCTCCGCGGAACTCTCTGTAATAGCGATCTCTGTCTGCGAAAGATACTTTCTGGGGAAATCGATCACCCTGCCAGTATGTGTACCGGGAAGGGTAGCGATGGCGGGGTCAACATGCTCTATAGAACGATCGCGCACTGCTTGGACCTTGCGGGCAGATTCTTGCCAGGAAAGCTTCTGCTGAGGTACCACAGTCATTTTTCCAGGTGAGGTTGGTTAAACGAATTTTATAGAATGCAGCACTCTAATAAAGTCGGTAGATGGACCTCCTTCCATAGTCTCCGTTACACGGAGCACTCGATCAGTATGCAAGCTCATGAAAAGGGGGAAAGGCTCCAGTTCCTGGCCCCAATGTTTCATTTCCCTCTGCAGTAGTACGATCCTACACGGCCGTGTCTCCACTGTACGGCGCCGAGGGACCAGCCCACTCTAATTATCGGCCCCAATGTTGTATTCGTGCTAATTAGGACACAAGGCCGTGCGATTTTTAGGCTAAACTAGCCCCCGGTGATACCCGTGCCGTCGGGCGTCCGACTAGCCAGTTGTGGATACGCGATCATCGTCTCAAGAGCTCCACGTCGTATCATCCTCGCAGGGTTTTCACATTTGGTTAACATACTCTAGCGTCATGCAGCATCCTTGCAATGTGTAATATGAGAGGAGGTTTCATTTAATAGCCCTGAATGTGTGGTTTCGGGGCCGAGAATCCTTGAAAATTGGACTCGAGGATAATTGCTCTCCTAAATTTTGACATGAAGTTTTGTTCTTGTCAGGGGGTAACTCCCTTCATACAATCAAGGTCTTGACTCATAACAGACAGTGGTTGAAAATTCCTCTCGGTACACATGACCGACCTCCACGAGGACTTCGGGCCAGCGCTATGGGTGGTGAACACGATCTTCATTGTATTGTCCACATTCGCTGTTGTTGCCCGGTTTGCAGCTCGACGACTACGGAAGTTGTCTCTTGGTGCAGATGACTGGATGATCTGTGTCGCCCTTTTCTGGAATTGGCTATTATATGGGATATTCGTGGGATGTCAGTACAATTATGACTCTGGTCCTCTAAAAACTGGCAGTACTAATACCGACGGGCTTTCAGGTCGAATTAATGGCCTCGGCAAGCATCGAGCCGCCCTTTCACCAGAAAAAGTCGCTACATTCGTGGAGCTCCTCTACTTCTTCCAGATCTTCTACGTTCTCGGCCCCCGAGTGTGAAGCTAGCACTGCTTTTCCTATACCGACGCATTTTCGAGCATTCGAGTTTCTTGCGAATTGTCGACGGCATGATCGTGCTCATCTCTGTGTGGGCAATAATCATGACCTTTCTCGCAATTTTCAACTGCAAGCCTATTAGTGCCTTCTGGACAACGGAGGGAACTTGCCTGGACTTTAAGCAATTCGCTATCGGCTACGCAATTGTAAATATCATCTGTGATTTTGCGGTTTGGTTGATGCCAATTCCTAGAGTCTGGAATATTCAGCTTCCTAAACCACAGAAGATTGCTCTCTCCCTGATTTTTGCGTTGGGTTTGTTGTATGAATATTCATTTTTTTTTTCTGCCTCAAAGGTACAGATAAGTGCCAATATGTATGCCTTGCTAACACATCGTTCACTCCCAGTGATTGCGCTGCAGCTATGGCCCGCCTTCTGCTCTCAATGCTTGTCCTCGGTCAGTACGACTCCACATGGCTCTATGCAAAGGGATACATGTGGTCCATTATCGAAGTTTCAACCGGCATTGTCTGCACATGTCTTCCAACGATGCGAGTCCTCCTGAAAACAGCTTTCGGTGGCGCTTTGGCGAGGATATTCGACATTTCCAGCGGGAAGGCCAGCCACCAACCGTCAAGCAATACACCGTGGTCTAGAACAAAGGAGAATCCTAATGAAATCGGGGATGCGAGGTCGATGGAGGCGCTTTCCACCTCCGACCATACAAACAATGTTTCGGAATGGCATGGTGCAGACTGGGACACGAGCTCGCAGCGGATTCTAGTCACCGAGGAGGTAGACATTGAACTTCAGCCAGTCAAACAGAAGACATCTGGGAAGGTAACTTAATCTGTTCGCTTGACTCGACGTTTCTGGTCGATATCGGTGGTGTAGAGTCAAAGTAATATGCGTATGAGTTCGAAATGCCCCTGTCTGGCGGCATAAAAGAGTTGAAGAGCCCGTTGCACGCTCACTTGTATATGTTCTTGCGGGAAATCGTTCTCCCATGCGTAAGTCACCATTGGATAAGGCATGGCTGAGAAGCACCTATCCATCGGCATCACAGAAGTTTGGATTCAATTCCGCTTGGTCAGGAAGGATACAGGTGCTTGGTGTATCTGTATCTCCATTGCACACGGTATTGTGAAGAGCTCTTTTGCATCTACATGCATCAGTGTTGTATTTTCTCGACAGTCATGCATGCTGAAAGTGTCTCTGTGCGTTTTCACCCCTTACTCTCACCGCGTCGACACATCGACACACTATTCAGGGAGGTTATCCGTGTTTCGTTCTGAGCTCAAATCCCACCGTTCATCGAACATCCTGAGAGATTCTTTGAGTTGGTCTCGAGCAGCATCCCATCGATTACACTTCACCCCAAGATCATCGAGATACCGCAACGCTGACCTGAGAACAAAGGCACGGCTAGGTGGCAGCGCATCCATCTCTTCAAGGGGCATATCGTTTTGAGTAATTGCAATATCCTGTGTCATTTGTGTGATCGTCTCGAGTGCGATATAGGATCTATCGCGCCATTGGTCTGGAGACTTCTCTGGTGAAGGGGTCATCTCCGCTGTGATCTCGATGACGTGTCTATGTATGATATAAAGGGCCCTGTGTAGATTCGTATTTAGTGATCCGGTCTTAGAAATACGAGCAGCGCGAAAGCTTACCTAATCATTATGGCGTTCGCCGTGCAGAATAGCCCCCATCGCCCTTGGGACTGTTCCATGGTAAGGGCTAGAGATGTTTGCAAAGCATGGTCAAGTCTATCGAGTCGGACTAATCGGGTATCAAGGTCTTGCTCATCTAGGCTTTCAAAGACTTGGTCCAGAAGCCACGCAGCCTGGGTCACACTTGCGTATCCATCACTTTCAACAAAGGGTGGGCCTATGGAATTGGCCTCTGGGGTGAGAGCTTCCGGGGAAGGAGCTTGGTTCCATTTTTGCGACATAGTCTTGGGTAGTCGGAGTTCTTTATCCGGACATCTGGATATGAGAGGCTGGTGAACGGTGTTCACTTCGCAAAAGATAATCCTTATCTGATGTGAGACAGTACATCTTATGCAAGTAATGTGATTTGGTTTCTTACCTTTCAGTAGTGACAATTCCCCACCATGTGCTAAATTCTTCTTCGGCTTGCAAATACTCCATGGGGTCTAACCCTTCTACAAGGTTGGTAAGGTGCAAGCGAGCAGCGTAGCCCATCCTTGCACAGACCGCAATAGAAGCAAAAGCATCGTTAATTTTATTAGTCGCATACTCATAGCTAGCGATGATGATGCCTGCTTGTATGAGATGCAACGAAGGTGGGAACAAACTCTGGATTTGGGTGTAAAGAGATTTCGTAGTTAAATATAGAGTGGTGTGGTCAATGGCGGATGAACCTTTTGCTAGCCCAGGATGATATGTAATGAGGCACATAGACAACAGCAATAATGAGAACTTCGCGGAGGGCAATGTACTCGAGTGCAGCACCTCTTGATGGAAACGACAGGGCGATATGACAGGGATGAAGGTATGAATTCCCCGAAAATAGCGCATGCTGACATCGTCCACAGACTGACCAGCCAACCGAATGATTCGCGTGATCTGCAGATACAACGTCGAGTTGAGGTTTGTTGGCTCATACTGCAGGACATCCGATAGAGTATCCGACAAAAGCATGGATGAACGGATTATCGGGCTAGGAACCGCCAAGAAGGGCCTGACTGCCAGATACTTGGTATCCACAGAAGGGTATTGACAGTTCAAGTTCTTCCTGCGATGATCGGAGTTAGGGAGTTGTTATCGCCACAAGCCAGAGATAAGTATTACCGGGTGCAATACCCACAGCGCGGCCGCTCTTTATCACACTTCCTCTTGCGAAGCTTACACTTCACACAGACCAGGTTTGATACCCGAGTGGAGGGCATGGCAAAATTCTAGAAAAATACGTCAAAAGAAGCTCGAAAGACCTTATCGGGTTCAAGGGATACAATACAGGGAATAGTCAAAATCCAGTACCGTCGGTCCCTACTAAGCATGAAGAGAACAAAGGAAGAAGATTACCTGGCTGCCGGACAGCGGGAGTCTACGGCTCCGGGTCTGGACGTTGTGATTACATAATCCGATTTCAACGGATCTAACCCGAAAATGCCTAGTGCGGTCCAGTCGAGGCGGCCGCCTGTGGGTCAGATCTGGCGGGATCGTCCTTTCCGACCCACAGGGCGGCCGACATGATACCAACAGTCTAAAAGTTAGAATGCGACCTTGGATATAAAAATATAAGATGAGAGGCTTCCCAGCAGGTATATCCAATTTCTTGTCTTGTCTATATCCAAATAATGATGTCGTCAAGCAACTCAAGCAACCCAAGGACCGAACTCACCAAAGAGAGCGTTCCCCTAACCACCGAGCCAGATCTTCCCCCAGAGGGAGGTGTTCGAGGATGGATCTGCGTTGCTGGGGCTTTTATTTGCCTATTCTGCACTTTTGGATTTCTTAATGCGCAAGTGCTTCCAAATTTATAATCAGAATCACGATTCCCAAATCTAACTATATAACACAAACAGGATCGGTGTATTCCAAACACATTACGAACAGAATTCCCTCCGCGATTATAGTCCATCCGATATCTCATGGATATTTGCCGTTCAGCTATGTCTGATGTGGGCTTTGGGTCCATTATACGGACGTCTCCTCGATACCTTCGGGCCTGCCCCAGTGCTCTACCCATGCAGTTTACTATGCGTGTTCGCTTTGTGTATGACTAGCCTGGCAGGTGAGTACTACCAAATCTTCCTAGCGCAAGGCCTTGGATTTGGAATTGGTGCTGGAGGAGTCTTTACAGCTGCCATGGTCTGTGTTGGCCAATGGTTTGTGAAAAGACGAGGACTGGCTCTCGGTATTGCGGCATGTGGGTCGAGTACGGGTGGTGTCATTTTCCCCTTCTTCTTGAACAAAATGGTCGGCGACGTGGGCTTCTACGGCGCAATCAGGTATACTGCTTTGTTCATTGGTATCCTGTTGGCTGGGTCTTGTTTCATGGTCCGATCGAGGTTGCCTCGGAAGGCATGGAATAAAGATGCGCCCTGGCTTGATTTGTCTCTGTTCAAAGAGAGTCAATTCGCCTTATACTGCCTAGGTGCATTTTTTGTGATGTTCGTTTCGTTTTACACCCATTCATTGAGATTTATTGCTCACCATTGACCAGGTGGGGACTCTGGGGTCCATTCGATTACCTCCCTAGCATGGCTCAACAAGAGGCAAGGTTCTCTCCTGACCTAGCTTTGTATTTGATCTCGATCATCAAGTGAGTCACTTTGTTCTTTCCAAAGTCCCTGATGTTGACTAGTGGCGAAGTGCTACCTCGATTCCCGGCCGCATTATCCCTCCGCATATTGCTGATCATGTCGGCCATTTCAATGTAATCACCGCCTGCGCATTGTCGACGGCCATCTCGATACTCTGCCTATGGTTGCCCTTCCACTATCATCCCTCCCATGCGGGACTTATTGTTTTTGCGCTGGTTTATGGGTTCGTTACGGGTGCCGTTGTCTCGCTACTGATGCCGTGCGTCGCAAAGTCTGGAAAGCTGGAAACATTGGGTGTCCGATTCGGAACTTTCCAAATGGTGGTTGCTCTCGGGTATGTTTCTGACTCACTTTCCGTTTTCTATTAAGTTTCTTTCGCTCATTCGCTTTATAGATGCCTTACTGGCCTCCCTATTATGGGCGCTATCCTGAAACAACAGGGTGGAAAGGATTTCGCTGGCTTGGAGATATTTTCCGCTGTGTCTGCGCTAATTGGTGCAAGTTTCCTTGCAATTTCAACATATCAAATGGCTCGCTCCCACGGAACCTGGCGAGTCTGATTGTCATCTGTTTGTCAAGTGGTAAATGTTACAGGTACTATAATAAGTGGGCAACCCCATCTAACAATTATGGATATAAAACAGATCATATGTTGACTTAGAAACAGCTATATAAATTATCATTGCACTGCATAGAAATTACAATCCACTGGTTAGAAGGCCTAAACAAATGAACACTTAGTAACAAGTAATATGTATAATCAGTATCTGATCCCTGGCCAGGAGACACCTTCGCATGCTTATAAAATGAGAGTGCATCTAACTTAATGTCTGGCAATATAAACCAACGAAATGGTTATAAGCCAGTGGCATACCTTAGTCGCCCGTATATTGGCTGTTATAAGGTCGCACCCTTATTGTGTCCACGGGTACTCTTCTCACTTCTTCGCTTTACTTCCGCCCCTCGATCTTTTACAATTCTATATAAGAAGCAAGCACCATATCTATTCATGGATATGACTGAAGGCAAGATGAACGCCATTCCGGAGGGAATTACGGAAGGCCTTCTTCGCAACATTTTTTTATATCTGTATCACAGCGCTGCAGCGTCAGTTTTGGATTCTCGCGAACCAGACGATTTATGGATCTAGGCTGTTGACCCAGACTATGAGCCAAAAGGCCAGGACTCTAGCTTGAGTGGATACCAAGGATGTCTTCGTGTTCTTCTTCGGCAACTTCACAATCACTTCTACGTTGCTTGGCGCTGGCACGCGGACGAGTGGTCGATGGAGGATTTATGGAATGCAGCCCAGAAGGACCCTCGCAATTCCTCCTTTGTTTCTGTGAAAGACGAAGAAATCTTTGCGCAAAACTTGAACCGGGAGATTGCTACCGCCATGAAAGGGTCTGAGGGATAAGATGGTGGAGTCTGTAGCGCATGAGCATGCAGATATAAAAAATGAAGAAGAATGTGTTCAGGATCAAAGATCAAAGATGATATGATGATGATGAATATAACTAGCTGCCATAATTTATTTTATTGTTCTTTCTTGTACTAACTAGAAAGAGCATATTCCTTCATCTGACCTTGCTGTGTCTTTTTTGGTGTTTTTTTTTTTTTTTTTGTGGTCTTTGGGGTAAATGGGACACTCCAAAACCAAAAGATACGTCCTGTATTTGTAGTTCCTTTCCCAATCCAGCAAAGGCCATCAATCACTCAAATATCTAAGCCAGTATTTTATCGAAGGCTAGATGTGTACTTGAGAGAACCTTCACTTTCAAATTCTTTTTTGTTATTGGTGAGAAGTAATCTCCCCATTTCATATCATCGGATGTTGTTTTATATAGCTGCATGTCGAGACATCGAAACATAGATGCGAAGGCTAAGTATAACTCGGAATAGGCGAGACTAGAGAACAATTGTTCTTGTAAGTTCAAGTATGCGGCACAACGGTCGAGGCAGAAGATGCACATAGGAGTAACGTATCCCAACTTACTTGATCCCGATACAGCCCCGCGAGCCTCTAGAAAATGATACCAAGTGGCGGTCCAGGTACAAATCATGACCAAGCCAGCGCTCAGGTCGAAAGGCCTTTGGATCTGGAAATACTGAGCTATCAGTGTTATAGACATAATGGCTAAGCGAAACGAGGGTCTGTAGTCACTCAGTTAGTAGGTCAAAGTGGCATGCGAACTCGTGAGACCAAGGAGCATACTCCAGAGGGTATATATTGTCCACACAGCGTGGCGCCTGACGATGGTACAACACGCGGGAGTCTTCCAGGGGCACCATGAGAGAAGCGAAGCGACTCTTTCACAACAGCTCTCTAAAATTGTTTTTATTAGTCGTTTCCAAGCCCAGTATATGATCCGAATAAAGGCTTAGTTACGCACCAGGTAAGGTAGCTTCTCAAGCATGTCTGCAGTTGGCATTTGGCAGCTATCAGGTATTGCACTGGAGAGCTCCTGCTGGAGTCTGCTTTTAATTTGCGGGTTGCTAAGGACATGGAAAGTGCCATGAATTAAAGTATTTGCTGGCGACCCTTCTCCGGCAATCAGGAAGGCTAGTGTCTCGGCTGTGAGGTCATTAATAGACGGTGCTGGTAGTCCTGTTTTCGGATCTGGCTGCAAGACCAAGTCGAAGAGGCTCGGATGCTGTTGCCTTGTCAATGTAGGCCGGTTGATGGCATCTAGAAGTAAGTCTTGAGCTTGCTACACACAGAAGCATCAGCCACAAAAAAAAAGAGAAAGAAAGAGGCAGGCAAGTTATGAACTCACAGCACGCAGGTGAAAACCCGCAGCGAACATTTTATTCCACTTTGCAAGAACAGGGAATTGCAGGGCAAGGCCGGCCATGAACCCGAAAAATCCGTGGAATGTGCGGAGAAGGATCATAGAGACAAGGAAATGATTTGTATAAACGACAGAAGGATAAGAAAAATCTGGGAAATCGAGTGCCCCAGATGCCCTCTGCCATCCATAGTTCATAATCACGTCCGTTGTAAGCGAGTGATAGCCTCTTGTAATGTCAATTACTCTGTTATCTTTTCCATATTCTCTCAGAATATCTATGAACTTCATGATGGTAGTTTGGATCAAGGGCTCGCCTCTTGCAACGGCTGCTTTAGAGAGAAATGGTGCAAACATCTCTCGTCGCGACTTGGCAGACTTGAGGTCTGACATGTTGAAATGAGATCCCTCCAAAAAAGGATGATCATAGAATTCACCCTGCTTGTCAAATTTTGTGCCAACGCTGAAAACCTCGTTGTAAGCATCCATATCGTGGATATGTAGTTCGTCGGGATAAGTCCGGACAATCGGCCCTATACACCAAGGAGAGGTGAGATGTGACCGGAAACAGCATTAGAAAAGTCCCTACCATATTTCTGATGAAGTTTGGGAAGTATTAGAGTGTACTGGCCCCCTTTGATCAACGTCCAATAAGCACCGTAAAGGTGTGTGGCAGCAGCCAGCTTTGGCCCCGGAAACCGGGCAAGGGGATGGAAATACAGCCTATAAATCATACGAAGGCACTGAAGCCCCAGCACGACGACTACCAGCCATGGCCAGATCATTCTGACAACGATAGCCTTGTTTGAAGATCGGGAAACCCACGACAGGTGCTTTATATGGAGTACTTATAAATTTTAACACACTGGTGGCCTAACTACCCATTTCCTTGCACATCCCTACATACCCTGGCCATGTCATCTCAGGCGGGAAGGGACGCTAATGCAAACGCCTTTGCTTGCTTCTTTTTGATCAGGAATACCAATACCAATAATGAGTATTACCCAACTTCTAGTACGCAGCTCAGGTGCAGCTCACACTTTTTTTTTTTTGTATTCAACTGACTGTATTTATTACTGATGGCGTGCATACACTAGCGTCCCTTCTTGCCTGAGATAATATGGTAGAGCATGTATGACATCCAATTATCTTCAGGGAGTAGCCCTGGAGGGTTACACCACCCCGCTTGAGTCTCCTCGTGCGTGTGATATCTCATATCTATGAGATATCTATTCACCTTTCAATCTATTTGATCTATTTAAACGGCACAGATGCATATTGATGCCTTTACCACCCATTTTTGTATATAACCTATAGAAATGTTGAATCCCAGAGCGAGAGTTCAATTTAGGTTGCTTTTAGTTAGTGGAATACAGGAGAAACTCCCATTTAGCGCTATTATCGCTTATTTGGTATCTTCTTCCTGATTCTCTCTCAAGAGGATATATATTTCATAGTGAGGGGTAGATAAATATATAGGGGTGGAAGAGAAGCTATAGATATGGCTTCAATTCTAGACATGTTGCTACCTAGGATCGACAGGTTACGGATGAAAAGCCAGCCATGGCCAGTTTCAGAAGCAGTCCTTTCGACATCAATTCCATAAGTCCTCACATTCTATGGGTAAATAAATCAATCCGCTTACACGTGATTATAGAACGGAAGACGCCAGAGCCATTAGTCGAGTAGACAGAGTATAATAAAGACATTAAGGCATTACCCTCATCCCCTCAAATTCGGACAAAAGCTGTAGAGTGGAGAAACACGTTAGCACTATATCCGAAACAATGTGTGTACTGCAAGAGAGAGGCAGAGAGGGAGACGAGAGACTTACTAGCATCAATCTGCTTAATATTCGGCAACGCTAAGCGCACCTTATTCCGATAAACAGCTGGCCCATTCAATTGCAACGGGTTACCCTCGAAGTAAACAGTCTCCAGCTTCTCCTTATCCTTGAGCTCGCGCTCAACTTCCTCAAAGCTAGCAAGCTGATTATTCGACCCCCACAGTTCCTCGAGGTTCTTTAGTGAAGAAAGGTGTTCAAGATGGGAGACCTGGTTGTTGGAGAAGTCGAGCACGCGCAGTGTCTCGTTGGATTCCAATCCTGAAAGGTCGGTTACTGCGTTGTGAGAGAGGTAGAGCTCTTCGAGCTTTGGGAGCGCGGAGAGACCCGTGATTTTGGTGAGGCGGTTGGATTGGATGGAGATGATGCGGAGGTTTGAGAGGCTGTCCAAGTTCTGCGAGGGTGTCAGCTTCTTTACTTATTGATGTATTTTGGACGACAACTGCGCACCTTCATTTCGACAATTTTGTTTTTCCCAAGCCAGAGCTCTTCCAACGCAGTCAGTGTGTCCAAGTTTTCGATTTCCTGAACGGACCCCCGTGTCAGCTTTTCCATTGTTCGCTTTGTATGCGGGTATCATATAGCACGAACCCGAATCTTATTCGCGCCCAGTTCCAGGTTCTTGATTCCGGTCAATTCCTCCAAGCCCTCAATGCGGGAGATTTTGTTCTGCACAAAGAAAATCTCGGTCAACTTCTTCAGATGCGAGATATTCTTGATATGTTTGATCTTGTTGAAGCTCAGATCCAAGCTGGTCAAGTTATGGAACTCCTCCAGGCCCTTGATGTGGGAGATGAGATTATCGTAGAGATCAAGTTCGGTCAGACTGGCGGCGACATTCGGAGGGAAGTTGATGCGTGATATTTGATTTTGGCGCATACATAGTCTCTGTATATCCCAGCGCGTTAGCCATCTGGATGATCCGACAGGAATGCCGCGTCGTTGCGCTTTTGTGCCTTGAGGAAAAAGTGGTACCATATGCCCCTCTCCGTTACCAGACACATGCGGATTCCACGGCCGTTGAGGGTATGTACCTGAAGTTTAGGGAAGCGTTCCAATTTAAGAGCAGAAATCGACGATATCCGGCAGTGCACGAGGTCGATATCCTACAGCAGAAGAAGGATTAGCAATCACGTCGCGCGCGCGTCGATCAGCGAAAAGCCCAGGGCTGCCTACCTCCGCATTAACATCTTCATCTGCCAATAGATCTGAACAGCCGTTAGTATGCCGATTCGCCAAGGACCGCCCAGCCCTGAGGGATCAATCATCTAGCGACCGTACCTTCATCAGCCTCAATCTCCTCAACCGGAGGTGCATCCGGATCCGAGTAATCTGAATCTTCCAACGCCTCCGGGTTTGTAATGACGGCCTTTGGCTCCATCCTCATTTTTCCGTCCCAGCCCTCCTTGTTCTTCATGATTTCTGCCAGCGTGAGATATGTGGGATGTTTGGAGGTGGGCGGTGGGAATCGCGATTGCGGGGAGCTTTTGGCGTTTTTATCGGGAGACGATCGCCAATCGGGGATAACAGAAAAAAGAAAAGGAAATCCAAGGAGACGGGTTCGAAAGAACAAAGAGGCAATAAAGAGGATATAAAGAGGTCGCAGAGTTAAGGAACTGAAACCTTGGTTTCGGGCAAGCCGAGATCAACTGGTTGACTACATCATCGTCTTAATGCGGCCTCAGGGCGGAATGACCCCGAAGCACTTCAACCTATTTACCACATGGACACATGGACACATGGACTTATTTATTTGAGATATAGATTTTAGATGGGTAACAATTAATGGTTAAATTCACTTCTACTCTAATACAACTGGCTCCATTTTGTTTTCTGGATACGTCGTCCCGGGGGCTATATACAGCATCGAGAGCCGTGACTGATCATGTACATTGCATGAAAGAATCTCCAACTTTGGCAGCATAAAGGGAATTATTAGACACTGCTCTCTATGAAGGACATGCATACCACTGCCAGGCAGAGGTCCCAGCAAAGGAGAGAACATAATGAAATGCATGCTCGTGTATTGATGAGCTGAGATCAAGGCAGTAAGGCCGTGTAGCAAGGCAGAAATGAGAAAAGAAATAACATAGGGGGGATACAGCGGGGGCATGATAACCAAGAGACGCCTGCAGAATGCATAAAAAGCGGACTTGTTGGGTGTTGGGATAGGGAGAGAATACACAAAAAGGGAAGATCAGGACATGAGGGGGTGTTGGTAAAGCACAGGGGGAGAAAAAGAGAAAGAAATAATGGGGAATGGGCTCGCTCGGAGCGTAGTGAGATACAAAGTCAAATTGCAATGCAGAAGGTCGAAGATGGTCAGGTTAATGTGCTATCCAAGAACGACAACAAATGCAGGGGGGACGGGACCTTAACCCAGTAGGATACCAGTTCCATCTGGGTCCATATTCGGTCGTCGAGAAGGGGAATCGAATCTGTAGTAGGAAATAGGGCGACTGCCCATCAATGGCAGCAATGCTGGAGGAATGCAAAAGGAAAGGGCTTTTCTCGCGTAGAAAAGAAAACAATTCGCTCAAAAGGGATATCTCAGGCGTAAGAAGGATCCCATCGAGGCATCTACAGGGCGCAGTCCAGGACCATACTGACATCTTGGACCTGGGCCCCTGCGAGATCCTCGAGAACAGGGATGAGGTCGAGCAACTCATTGTCATGAGCGTCAGAGAACCAGCTACTGATGGGAATCGCGTGCTCAGGGTGGAAGATGTAGGATGTAGGGGAATTATCAATGATGATTGTTTCCTTCAAGTCTCGACCGACTTGTGAAAGATCCTAGGTAATGATTAGCTTTTTCCCGATGACCAAAGAGGACAAGGGAGCTCACTTTGACGTAGTTCCCCTGGTGGTTATAACAACTCTCTCGGAATAGGCGGTGATGAACCACGTTGTGGATATCCAGTTGGTCGAGCAAAGGGTCGCCATACTATAACTCGAGTCAGTGTATGCCACGCGCCAAAACCATCAACTATCGACTGACCTTTGAAACTGAGGCAGTGAATACCACCACTTCGTAAAGCTCACCAACACGCTTCATGAATGCATCCACACCAGGACGTTTGATCACATAGATGTTGTGATATTGACCTTCGATCTCAACTGGAATGGTGAAGTCGGCACGCTCCAAAACCTGTCAAATCAATAGTGAGTGAGATGATACAATAATATGCTTATACGCCTTGGGCGCATTTTAAAATTCAGGAAAACTTACCTTGAAGCTGCTGTGAACCAGTGTTTCATCGAGGTCGAGAACCAAGCACTTTCGGCCACTTAAGTGGGGCAAAGGCGCAGGGAGCAAAGGATGCGCTGAGTCTTCATAGCCTCGAGCAGGAGGAGCCGGGGGTGCCGGTGGCAGCGGTGGTGGCGGCGGAGGAATAACCACGGGGAGTTTCATTTCTTGGTGAGATGTGACTTCTTCTTGCCCGTCAGTGCCAAAATCTTTCTGAATGGTTGCCGTTGATGCAGAAGGAAGTTCCTCAGCGGGGGAAGTTGATTGACCCTCCCGATCCTGAGTGTTTGCGTCTGCGTTCACTTCAGGTACTGATCCTGTCACGATTCCCGTTTGATCGTGGGGGCAACATCACTAGTTTGATCTTTCTGGCCTGAGACTTCTGGCTGTTTGGCATCAGCAGAAGGACCATCCGCTTGCACGCTGGCCGTGGCAGGCTTGACATTGCGGTCCTCTTCGCCAGGCTGATCCGCGCTGACTGTGGAGTGTGCCTTTTCATCCAAGTATGGCTCCCCTGATTCTACAGTGCTCGAGTCACCAGTAGGAGCCTCCGCCTTGTCTGGGGTAGGCAGCCTGTTGGAAGCAGGTGGCCGCATGGTTGTTTTCTTTGCAGGCAGAGCAGTGTCATCTGCATCAACTTCGGAAGAGGAGCAACAGCCCAAGAAAGCCAGGAACTTAGACGGATTTTTCTTCTGTTGAGGCTTTGGGGAAGTGTCCTCGGGCATGGTCGTCGCCTCTTTACTCTCCTCCGCATTCCCTCCGTTCTGAGTCTGGCGCGACCGGCGGCTACTTGCCCGGCTGTGATCCCGTTTCGACCGCAGGATGCTCACTTTGGAACTCCGTCGAGAAGGCTCATCTTGCGCTGCCTCCTCGGTCTTTTCCGACCCCTGTTGTTTGCTTGTTCTCGAGGATCGTCGGGATGGGATCGGAATCAACAAATGGCGTTTCTTCGGTGCGGTGGTGCTTTCAGCAACGGCCGTCGTACTCTCCACCGGTGCAGTGGAAGAGGAGGCCAGGTCGGAAGGTGCGACAGAGGTTGTGTCCTGGATGTCGGTCGCATCGGCACCACTACCCTGCGCGGGCTCAGGAACTACGGCAGGAACGATGTCAGCAATCATATCCTCCTTGGATACAACAGGTGAAATTTAACAAGCGCATTTACTTACTGGCTGAGCCCGTGAGGCCAGAGGTATTCATAGGTGCTTTGTTTGCGGATTCCGGAGCTGAATCTCGCGCGGTGCTCTCTCCACTCATCGTTGAGTGGCTGCGGTGTCAGGTGGCCCAACACAAATAAATATAGAAAAATGAATGGAAGCGAAACAGATCCCAGGTCTGAAAGGCTGAGTCAATGCCAGTACTCTCCAAGGTCGGGAGCGCGGCTAATAGGGGACGTTAACACGCCTCCTAGATAATAAGCAGGCGTTCTGGGAAATTCGCACGTACCGCCTTTGGCCCCGGGGAGTGATCCAACACCCACTATTACACTCTTTCGAAAACGACAAGCTAAACGAACAGAAAAAGGATGTGATATCTCCTACCGTCTAAAGGAGGATTTTCGGGGGAGAGGAGTCGAGAGGAGTCGGGGGGATGTCACGTGAACGGTGTGGGAAAATGGGGCGAGGAAATGGGATTTTATTTCCTTTTTCCCATTTTTTTAGGGGACGCTAAACAGGGCTAATAAGGCTAGCAAGGCACAGGGGGGGCCCTCTTTCACACGCTACTACAAGCCCTCAGCGGCTACGGTAAATACCGACTTGTTATCACACTATACAGAGGTACCCTGTACTCGGGTGATAAGTACCTTCACCTTCAATGCGGGATTCTTATTCGTACACTCTATACTCCGTATATCATTCCCACAACCTTACAACACAGGGCTTGATTGTAAAAAAAAAAAAAAAAAAAAGAAAGGACCAGGATCCTTTTGTGATGATCGCGATCAGGGCCTGTGGGGGGAATCTCATTGTGGATATTCACTGTGATTGTTATGTACGGCCCCTTTTTTATGGCCACTTTTATGCTTTAAAAGCCACTCATATGGCCAGTAGGAGGAGCTATGGCCTTCGAAACGTGATTGATTTCATTTGATTTGACTGAAATTAGATCCAGCCCAAATCCCAAGCCGTAAACTAAAACTACAAACTACAAACTGGGTTATACCTGTTAGTGATGATTCAAGTACTCGAGGTTCACTTGGGTTAGAATGTCTCATAGGGGAAGTCGGACATAATAACAAAGGATACCAAAGGAAAATCATGGAGTACGGAGTACCCCGTAAAGATTAAATAGAATCCATGGGAATATCCCCAGGGCCAGAGTCAAAAAAAAAAAAAAGAGGTTGGGGTTCCCCCCATTTCTATTATTATCCAAGTTCCTTTTTTTTCCAAAGTCCCAGTTCATTGGAAGATCACTAGAATAGAGGGCTGGGGAGAAGATGTACTCCGTCACTACGGAGTATGAACAGTCAGCTTCCCCACGTGAGGTGCTTCTCCGCATATCCGAGGTTCACATGCAATGATGCAACCCCCCCAAATATTTCGTGTCAACTTCACTTTTTTGCCTTGAAATGCATTTATGGTTTGCAATACACTCGAAATTAACCTCATGGCCTTCGCTCAAGTCTAGGGACCACCCCTCAGTTACCTCGTGAGTCGGAGGTCTCAGGCCATTTGAAGATGGCCGTCCAGTCAACCCTTCGGCGTCCGGAGGATCCCCTCCTGGCATTATATCGTCATTACTCCGATCTCATACGCTCCAGGTTTCACCGCACATCCAAAACCACACGCTTGATTGCAACGATAGCCCTTCTTTTCTCCATCATCAGCTCCGGCTATGGAGGCTACAAGTGGTTCCGAGGGAGAGCCAAGGAGCGAGCCCAAGGCCGCCGTCTATTACGCCGGAACTCTGGTATCCGGGGTAAAGATGGTTCTCGTACTATCTACGTGCCATACAAGGACTCCCTGACTTCCAAGGTCTTAATCCATCCTACCAAACCGACTACCTTTGACGCTCATCGACGACTATTCCTCAACCCCCCAGCATCCGCTCGCAGCAGAGAGGATGGCTCGGCAAGCCAGATCCCTCCCCCTACGACCAAACCGGGTCTAAATTTGGCATTCCTGCATCAGTTCTTAAGCTTGGGTAGTATCATGGTCCCAAGATGGGGAAGCAAAGAGACTGGATTGCTGATGAGCCATGGCCTTTTCCTCTTGATGAGAACATATCTTTCGTTGTTGATCGCACGACTTGATGGTGAAATAGTGAGGGATCTGGTCGCTGGGAAAGGAAAGGCTTTCCTTTGGGGTATCCTCAAGTGGTGTGGAATCGGAACCCTTGCTTCATATACCAATGCGATGATCAAATTCCTCCAATCAAAGGTGTCCATCGCCTTCCGCACTCGGTTAACCCGTTATATCCACGATCTATACCTAACCGACAATAACAATTACTATAAGTTGATGAATTTGGACGGTGGAATCGGCCAAGGGCCGGACCAGTTTATCACGCAGGACCTTACCCTGTTCTGCACAGCTGCCGCATCACTATACTCCTCAATGGGAAAGCCGCTTGTGGATCTTTTCGTATTCAACTATCAACTTTATCGCTCACTTGGTCCCCTTGCCCTGAGCGGCATTTTGGCTGGGTACTTCAGCACAGCCGTGGTGCTCCGGAAACTGTCACCACCATTTGGAAAGCTTAAGGCAGTAGAGGGCAAGAAGGAAGGAGATTTCCGTGGCCTACATTCTCGACTTCTAGCCAATGCCGAAGAAATCTCGTTCTATGGCGGAGCTGATACCGAGCGGGTGTTCCTGGTCAGAAGCTTCAAGGAGCTGCAGCGATGGATGGAGGGCATTTACAGTCTCAAGATTCGCTACAACATGCTCGAAGACATGATCCTGAAGTACTCCTGGTCAGCATTTGGCTACTTGATAACTTCCCTGCCCATATTCCTCCCCGCCTGGGGTGGCTCGGGTGGTGCAATGGAATTGGCCGATTCACCCGAGGGCATGGGTCGTGAGCGTGGCCGCATGAAGGAGTTCATCACTAACAAACGCCTCATGCTTTCGCTCGCTGATGCTGGAGGTCGCATGATGTACAGCATTAAGGATATCTCTGAACTCGCTGGCTATACCTCTCGTGTCTATAGCCTCATTGCAACCTTGCACCGTGTCCACGCCGATGCGTATTACACCCCACGGGGCTCGCATCCCGAACTATACTCGCTTGCCGATTCCCAGGGCACCACCCACAACGGCTTCGACGGTGTCCGTCTGGAACAGGTCCCGATCGTCGCACCATCCCTCCACCCAATGGGCGGCGACGAACTCATCGAGTCGCTCTCATTCATCGTTCATTCAGGCGATCACCTCCTTATCTCTGGTCCAAATGGCGTAGGCAAGTCTGCAATCCCCCGTATTGTGGCCGGGCTCTGGCCCGTATACCGCGGGCTCGTTAGTCGTCCTCGAGGCTTTGGCCTCGACGGAATCATGTTCCTCCCCCAGCGGCCGTATCTCAGCGTCGGCACCCTGCGTGATCAAGTAATCTACCCGCACACGGAGGTTGATATGCGCGAAGCTGGCGAGACAGATGCAGCTCTGCAAAAGATCCTTGACGACGCCCATCTTGGTTATCTGCCACAACGTGAAGGCGGCTGGGACGCTCGCAAGGAGTGGAAAGACGTCCTGAGTGGTGGTGAGAAGCAGCGCATGGGCATGGCAAGACTCTTCTACCATGAGCCGCGATATGCGTTCATGGACGAAGGCACTTCGGCTGTTTCCTCGGACGTCGAGGGTTTGCTATACGACAATGCCAAGGAGCGGGGTATCACACTCATCACCATTTCGACGCGGGCGTCTTTGAAGAAGTACCATACCTATAACCTGACTCTTGGCCTGGGTGCCGAAGGCGAGGTCTGGGAATTCGAGAGAATTGGTACTGAGAAGGAGAAGCTTGGTGTTGAGAAAGAACTTCAGGAGCTGCGGAAGCGTCTGGATAAGGTGGACGAGTGGAAACAACGCCGCGAGGAAATTGATCAGGAGCTTCAGAAGGTTTGGGCGAATGATGGTGAAGTTGCACCACCCCCTTATCAGGAAGAAGAGCACTCTGGCTCCGAGGCTCTAGTTGAAGCAACTGCCAATTGAATGTACACAGACAGTATGATCAATTTTGAAGATCTGCAATATTGGAATGTTAGAATGATGTTCAATAAATTCATCTCCCTATGCACAATATAGATATTTCACGGTTTAGTTGTGTTATTGACTTGAATTAAAGCGGCAAGCGAGACTTTCCCCTTTTTTCACCGCTCTCTTAAAGCAGCGGCATTTCTTATCGATAAGCCTGGCATAAAGAAAACCATGGGTCTGCATAGTTCATTCTATCAACAACTCTTCTTCACTTGCATTCTCGTACAAATACTTTATTCACTGTCTTTAGACAGATTATTGTGTTGTATCCTTTTTTCTATCTCTCTTTTTTTTTCGGCATTGCTGGGTCCTAGCTCTTTAGCAATCTAATCTACATTCCCTGGGTTTCCCAGGCGGGGAAGACAAGCATGTCTTCTAGCAGCGAGGATGATGATCCTAATGTCAATATTATCCCAATGGATAACTTTTCCAGCGATGGAGACATGAACACCTGGCCATCTGGAGGTCACTACGTTGAACGCCCCGACATTCGCTGGCGGGAGTTACTTGCTGAAAACTGGCTCAAAGAGATGGGCACTTACGAAGAAGGTGAGTTGACTACAAGTTTCATTTTCACGTTGTACTTAACATGCTAGCTGTGTTGCGTTGTGCTGTTTCGCGCGTCGCATTCGTTTGGTGACTGCATCTGTCACTTCATCCAACTGACGTTTGCTCATTCCCTTTTTTGTCCTTATGCTTGCCTGTTCTGTCCCTTCTTCTCTGTTTCTATCCTTCATATCTCTGCTCTCGAGCTGACAGAGCATACATCAGGTGTCGTTCATACCATTGAGAAATTACCTGACGGATACTGTCTATTGGCGCGGCCACGTACCACCAATCCTAACATTGTGAGCTTTCCCAGTGTTCCCATCTTGATCTTGCAACTAACAATCCTATGTTCAGTTCGACTCTTTCCTATTTGGCCATCCAAGCGGAAAGTATTTTCAATCACAGAAATCTTTCTTCCCTCATTTCTTGTCTCTGGTCAAGAACGAGCTGGACAAGTGTGGATGCAAGCTCTGTGGTAGAGTAAAGTCGAACCAGGGGGCTGTATCACAGGGGACTGTGGTGCAACGGGTTAAACCTGGTATGAATCCAAGTGAGTCCTACCATGCCTCTTATATTAGATTGTTTATTGACACATATTGAGTGACCGATAACGAGCGTCGACCCACTGATGCGGAGGGGCCAGATTACTGGCGGATCTTGGTTATGAAATTGAAAGATAAGGGGAGCCTTGATGAAGATATTGAGCAACGCTTCAATCTTGACTGGGTCTTGACACACGAATGGCTTTCAGACTACTTTGTGAAACTCGCTTTGGATCCTGCTTACGTCCCTCGTCGTGGTGAGCTTGTTCTCTGGATCTGGCAGGGCCTAGAAGACGGATGTTTGATGCGAAACCCCAAAACTGGCCTTGTTGAGATCTTCGGTAATGATAACGAGTGGCATGGCGTGCCTGATTGGCGCGCCGGTGTGGTGACCCAAACCCCGGAAGACGAAGTTAATATGGTGGACATTATCGAAACTCCAGACAGCCCACGCGGGCTGAGTTACTCGGGATTCCGTGTGGAAACCCTCCCAGATCCCCTGGGGAACGACAAGTCATACTCCGCCCAATACGCCTATGTTCCATTGCGGAACATCAAACCTTTTAACACATGGCAACTCTACCTCAATGGCCAAGGGCGAGATGGTGTCCATCCATCTATTGAGAACGCCATGACTGTTATGTCTTCCTGGAGCATGGTTCACAAGTTCCATGCCATTGGCAAATGGCCTAGCGCCAGAATCAACTGCAAAGGAATTTTCATTGGAGCCGAGCTTCTTGCTGTACACGATACCGTCCGTCTAAGACCACATGGATTCCATCCCGACCAGCTCAAAAACGGAACAGTCGGCGAAGTGACAGACGTGATGGTTATTGAAAAAATCGCGCTCTGCCTTTCAGACTGTATTGACGACGACGAGGAGCAGCTAGCAAAACACTTCACAGCCCTGGTCTCTGGTAAGGTTTACACCACCGATCCCAAGCGCATTACCCAAGAAGGCCCATTCAAAGGAACAAGCCCCGTACCATCCACCACCGAGACTGCAACCGATCCTACCCCACTGTCCACGGAAGAAGCAACCACTACCTTCCGCCAGGTCGGCATGAACGACTACGGTCCCTGGTACCGTATGGCCAATGGCAAAACCTGCAACGTCTCCCCGCACTGGATCGTTGGTCGCTGCTACGAACCTCTCGCGGCAGAGCTTATGTTCGGCACCCACACCCTGGGCTACGACGTATCCGGCGTCATGGAAGGTCGTCAGTACTCGTCACAAGTCGATACACGCATGCCCGGGAACAACACGTGGTTCTGGGGCGACTGTCGGGTGGAAACGCTGGGACTCACAGAGATCAATGGTGTGGAATGTGGTCTTACTGCAGCGCAGCGCGAAGACCCGCGCAAATGGCAAGCGATTATTAAAATGTCCCACGGTGAAGTCAGTCATGCTCTCCGGTGCCAAGCTCAGATTCCTTCTTCTAGCGGTCGGCCCTTTAGGACTTCGTCTTCGTCTTCGTCTGCTCCAAGGGGTCGACCGAAGACTGGTCTTGCGCAACATGCGCAGACGAGCAAGCTGGTCAGCTCTGCCATTGGCAGTGTGCCGGATACTGAGGATGACTCTGTTGAGGAGCATCTCGAGGATGGCAGTGGATTGATTGGTGATCAAGTGTCTCGTGGCATCTCCGGGCTGGAGCTTCAGGGTGGTCAGTCTTCTGGGGATAATGATCATCCTTTTGCGTAGATTGATTCGATTCAATGTGCCTGTTTGTTTTCGCTCCTTTTAGCGGCATATTCAAGATACCCATGGGCGTTATGGAGGGACTGTTTTATCTTAGCCAAATGCAATGTTTAAGTTGTCAAAGTATTCTTTTTATTCTACAACTATATAATTCGGTAGAGCAGCATTGTAAAGTCGACGTCAGCGTCTAGAAAAATAAGCGTGAAATACGAACATGCTGTTCCAACACAATATACTAAAATAGAAGTAGAATCAATGGCCATTGTTATATGATATCTATGTCTAAATAAACGACATACCATAGCTTCGTACATGGCTTAGACCTCATTCTCTCCGGCAGAGTTCCGTCTAGCAGATCTCTTCTTCTCAGACCAAGGGAAATGAACAACAGGAGGCACAAAGAAGCTATTACTATCATCTGCAATACCAGCAAAGGCATTATACCAAGCCAAGAAAGCACCAAGCAGAGCAAAGAGTCCACCAGCCTTTATCAACTTTTCATTTGGCACTCCATCCACATTGAAAAGGTATCCAAGGGAGAGCAAGAGAAGGGCAAGATCGACGAAGAAAAAGAGCGAGAAGAACGCGACGGTAGATTTCAGCGTGAGCATCGTGACCAACGTAGTGAAAATGAACCAGCCCTAAAGAAAACCAAGTTAGCACTCTTTCCCCTTCTTTCCATTCCACGCGGAATAAGGAACAACATACAAAGAGATATAGGGCAAACGAATTGTAAAACATAGCAGGAGACCCATGATCCGCCTCTTCAAGAGCCCCGAGAATATTAAACCCACCAGGGATGAAGGTTATAGCCAACGAGATCCAGAAACCACCGTAAGATGAGAGTACAGTCGCACCGAAGGTATTGCCAATAGCCATTTCCCTGATTTCGTTAGCAGAAGTCCATATATATATACTTCACTCCACTTCCACAACATACCACATGCCAGCCAAGAGCTGTATCAGCCCACCATAAGCCAACGCAGGTCCGACGATGATATTAGGTGCGGTGATACCCCTGACGTCCATATTGAGACATCCCAGTACGAATGTGGTAAGTGCAAATGCGCAGAGGCCTAGTGGTGCTGGGTTGGCGAGTTTGCGGTCTTTGGGGACGCGGTAGAGACCTGGTTGGAGGTCACCACCGAAGGCAGGGTAGCGGCTTGAGGCTGTGTTGACGTGGGCTAGGGGGCCGAAGTGGCCTGTTTCGTAGTCGTCATTTGAGGAGGAGGAGAAGTTGTTTGTGTCTTTGACACTGATTCCTTCTTCGTGAGACATTGTAGGTGGTGGTGGATAAGAGGTAGAGGTAGAGAGGTAGATGTATAGAAAAGGAGGGAAAGAGGGGGATATGGTTTAGGAGAAGGGAGTACGACCAGGAAAATAGTGCAGTAATTCTGGATCAGTCTGACAAGGAGGAATTGAATTTAATTGCGAGTTCGCTCTGCTTTATATACTGCGTACACATGTCGTGGACACCATGACACCACCTAGGCACCATGACCATCATGATCACTATGACCACCATTGAACCATAATTCCTGGGGAAGATCAGCGATAGTGCGGGGGAGGGGCCAATCCAAAAAACGAGTCTCAGAGAGGGTGAGAGTAATGTTGGCATTGTGAGCATCAGTACTCGGTAGTGGGGACAGTCTACAGTTCCGTCCGTCCGTAGATGATCACATTGCGAGTACGGAGTAGTGATAGATCGAGTGAAGATCAACACGCAGATCTCATTCCACGCTTAAAAACTATGGGGAAATGCGGAGATCTCCAAATAGTAGATCTTGGATCAGCTTGTAACAGGGTCAACCAGGGTTAAACAGGGGGGGACTGTGTGGGATTTCGGTCCACGTCTCGGTATCTTGGGCACTAGTATTATAGTGCAATTGCTTGGCTGCAGGACTTGGAAACTCTGTGAAACTGTTGTGAATGCCGAGATTCATCTGCCGACGATGGGCATTGGGTTTAGGAGTGCGTCACTCATTTTCATTCGCCCCCCGGGGAAATCTCCAGGGTTCTGGTTGGCCATCCCATTTCAGTCCCTACCAAAGAAACTAAAAATAATTTTAAAAAAAAACAAAAAGGATTTGAATTAACCTCATTCCAATCAAAGCTCATGCTACAAAACACAAAATATACTCAATAGTTCTTCTGCACAACACCCCTTGCAAACTCCGCAAAACTCAATCCAGGCTGAACCTCCTCTGCAAGATTGGGTTGCGTAAACACAGCGAGAGTATTTCTCGCAATCTTCTGTCCAGGACTAGCCTTAGCCCCCTTAACAAAATGCGGCACGGCCATAAACTTGCCACGCGTGATCAGCTGCAAGGCCTCACCAGTCTGGAAGGCGAGACAATCCTTAGGAATATTGACTTTGACGATTTCGTCAGTGCGTGAGCGGATATACAGTCCAGCCGAAGGGTCGGGGGAACGGGGAAGTTCAGGGAGAGGGGCAGAAGCAGACCCCGAAGATGGATCGAGAGTTGGAGGGGAAGCTGCTTCGTCGAGGAACATGGCCGATGTCAAGCCTGTCAGACAGCCGTGGTCGAGGTGCGTGGCGCACCAGTCGTCGTCACTTGTCTCACCCTCAGACTCATCTTCCTGGTTGCCAGGGAAATAATGTAATAGTCGTGCTTTGGTCGTCAGGCTGGTTGTCACGACATGGTGCAGGTATCCAGGCTTGTAGCCTTCGATGTTGGCTTCTGCATACCGGTCACATGCCTTGGCGACCAGAGCCGCGGTATCAATGATCAACCCGCATAGTGACTCCACGCTACCCCTAAATTCGGGTAACTTGGTTGGTGAAGGCCAGATGTTTGGCGCGGTATACTGGGGTAGATCGGGGAAATCATCTGACGGGGCGCTGTCTAGGGATGCATCTTGATAGAAGGCGCAGTTCACGTAGTACGAGCCCTTTAGCGTGTCGAAATGGCCTGATTTCAGGGTTTCTTTACCGCAGGACCAGCCGACCAGGTATTTGGATTCTGGGCTGGTGAGAGAGTCTAGATGGAGGTTAGTCTGATTTTGCTGCCGGTTGGAGTCGGGTGGGGGCATCTCTGGGGTTGGGAGACTTACCCAGTTCAGGTTCAGGGAGAGCCGCTAGATACGAGGCGTTAGAGAGAACCTTTGTTCGCAGGTCGCCGAAGGTCGGTGGTAGGTCTTTGACAACGATGATGCCCAGAGAGGACGGTCCAAAGGCTTCGGTCAGAGTGTCGAAAGATACAGTTCCTGCATCGTTCAGCATCTACAGTTTTTCTTCTAAACCCACAACTTACCATCTACAAGTTCCTGCAGACTGACAGTAACAGCTTCAGCCACCGTAGCTATCTTGTTGGTCTCCATGGTGTTGTAAAAAAAATCAAAATCAATTTCCCCGCTTCCAAGAGTTTATCGGTTTAGCCTATCTTTAACGATATATAAAACGCTACTATTCGCCTATTTGCACTAAATTTGACACGATGTTACTTGATGCAGGGATATAAATAATATGTCCAATAGGAGTCGAGAAATCCATATCGTCCCATTCTTATGTAGTATATCGTACAAGCCACCATATTTATAGTACAAAAGTCCTCACTCGCTACTCGGCTGTCCATGTCGTCTAGTCACAGCCCTGAGATTACCAAATGGCAACACATCAGTAATCCGCTTAGCCCCCGTGAACAACATACAGAGACGGTCAACGCCACAACCCCATCCACCAGTAGAAGGCAAACCCCACTCCAGAGCTTCAAGGTAGCTCTCGTCTACTTCGCCGGGTTCACCAACGGCCTTGCTAAACCGGAGCTGGTCCTCGAACTTGCGACGTTGCTCGAAAGGCGAGTTCTCCTCCTCGTATGTATTCACCACTTCTTTTGTTTCGATGAAGAGTTCGCCGCGCGCAGCCACGCGCTGCTTGGTGATTGGGTGGATGAAGGATTTAGAGAGTGGAGAGAGACATTCGGGTGGGTTGATGATAAAGGTTGGGTCTATGCATTGTGATTCGACATAAATACTGCATAGCTCGTCGAGGAGGCGGGGGAGGGTGGGGTTTGTTGGGAGTGGGAGGGAGAGTTCGGTGAAGATGGCGCGGACTTTATCCAAAGCGTCGGGGGATTCGAGATTAGGCAGTTTATGGCCGGTGGCCTCTTCGATGCCGATGAGGAAGTCGATGCGGCGGAATGGTGCCGTGAAGTTGGCTGTTGTGGGATTGAGAGTGCCCGTTGTGTTTAAGGCGCGGATGTGGGCTGCCATGCCGGAGAGGAGGTCTTCGGTCATAGTCATTAGGTTCTCGAGGTTGGCGTATGCGTGGTAGAATTCACAGGTGGTGAATTCTGCGTTATGGGTTTTATCCAATCCTATACTTCATCAGCTTTGCTAGATGGCTTTTGATTGTCTGTTTCAACACACCCTCATTACGGAACGAAGGTCCAATTTCAAAAATCTTATCGAATCCACCAACCACCAACCGCTTGAGCCATAGCTCAGGTGCGATTCTCAGCGACAGTTGGCGGTCTGGGAACTCAGTAGCGGAGGTATAGAACGGTCGAGCAATTGCGCCGCCTGCCACAGCCCCGACAATCGGTGTGCTAACCTCCATAAAGGACCGGTCGATAAAGAACTGGCGTAGATATTGTACGAGAGCTGCGCGGGCTCGAATGATATCGGCTGTCGCAGGGTTGGCTAGGAACTGGACATGGCGAGGGTATGGAGAGGTCTCGTGTTCGGTATCGTGAACGGGGACGTCATGCAGACACGGCGCGAGTAGCTGCGGCAGCTCACTCACATCGATGGTGAGCTCGCCTCGTCCAGTACGGTGCGGTCTACCGGTTACAGCTAGAACAGCGTTTAGCGGGCGACATTCGAGTCAAGCCGGACGGAGAGACATACAGAAAGCGTCACCGCGACGCAGAAGACGATAGAACTTCTTGAAGTCCTCGGGAGAGACACTGTCCAGACGACGCTTGTTGCACATCACCTGGACCTTATGGCCGTCTTGCACGATATCGAAGAAGATCAATTTG